AACCACCACCACAACAACAGCAGAAACTTTAATCGTTTCTGAATCTCAACCAGAAACTGAACCAGAAACTGAACCAGAAACTGAACCAGAAACTGAATCAGTTACTGAACCAGAATGGGAATCAACAACTGAATTTATCTCAATCCCTGAATCATCTTCAGAAACTTCAGAATATTGTTCACAAATTGATTATCCTGGGGAGTTGGACATTAATGATACAACTGAAGTTAAAAAAGCTTACCTTAGAATTATAATTAGCAGAATTAAATTAAACGAAAAACAGGTTAAATCCTTTGAGAAAAAATTTCAAGATTATCTAGCTAACTCAATTAACTAATTGTAAACGCTATTACAATTAGTTAATTGTTTACCTAAATACAGCAAACATCCAAGAAAAACATTTAACAAAAAAAAACAGATACAATAAAAAAATACAGTTGAAAAAGTGAAGAAAAAAACAAAATTAAATCTTAATTGTGATTTATTTCATTATAATGATCATGTTATTCAAAAATGTTACAATCAAATTTAATCCAATTGATTGACAGTAATTGACAATTTTCTCGTGTTTATCAACAATCAACAATAAATATCATCTTACAACAAACAAACAGCATGAAGTTTGACATTAAATCATTTGGTTAACAATAACAATCAAGGATTATCAAGATTATCTTGATTAGTGTTTATTTTCACTGATCATGTAAAAAGTATTAAAACAATAATAGTAATAAATGTGTAACAATTTAACCTAATTTCTTGTCTAATCTAATATGTTTTCTTGTTATTTTTAAATTGTCACAATTTAAGGTTAACATTATTGGTTAGTTAAGACAAAATTATGATTACTTTCAAATCAGCTTTCAAATGATGATGATGATGATGATGATATAATATGAAATCAACGATTAACAATCAACAAGTTTAATATGTAATAGAAAAAGTAAATTTAATCTTGATGATTGATTTAGATTAATGATTTAGTCTAAAGAGAGTCATTCATTAATCTTTGGGTAATCATCATAATCTTAATTATCTTGTCAAATATAAAAAAAATCCCCGTTTAATCCCAATGTCTTGTTTTAAATCCATAATCAACAATCAGATGATTAAGTTAATTGATTGTCATTAGTTGATAATTTGATTGTTACTTTTGTTGACCTTTTCCTTTGAGGTTTGGTTTCTTTGATTGTTTCATCATTTTTACAATCAAATTAATTGTAATAAGTCAAATGTTTCTAATGTATTGAAAGTGATCTCGTTGTTTTTGTCATACTCGTAGTCTTAATGATTAATTATTGATTGTCCACTTTGCAAGTTAATTTGTACACTCCATTGACTTTTCTGTTATTATTAGTATTATCTGTCATATCATTAGAACCAATTAGTTGACAATATAATTGACTTATGTATTGATCCAGTTGAGACCAATAATTAGGATCATCGGATGAAAATAAATCAGTCAAGTTAATTGTTATACTGTTAACTCCGGACCTTTTACCAAATTGTTGACATTTCCTAACCAATTGAGGCCAAATAAAAGTACAATCTAAATGATAATAATAACGGAGAGAAATAAATTATCATCATTAGTAAATTATTGTTAAAGGAAAATAGATTTTTGCTTTCTAATTTGTAATATTTAAAAACTATTCTATTGTTACAATCAATAATCTATCATTTGAAGGGATGTTTAAGTAATAATAACAAGATACTTTTCTACTGAGGGTGTAAAAAAAGTGTCTCTCTCACGATCTCTTCCTCTTCAACAAACCGGAAAGGGACATTATTTGTATTTGTACGTAGTAAATTTGGAAGAGAAAAGGAAGATAAAGATATGTGTATACGTCTCTCTGAGAGAGAGAGAGAGAGAGAGAGAGAGAGAGAGAGAGAGAGAGAGAGAGAGAGAGAGAGAGAGAGAGAGACTGAGGATCGATTGATGAGGATGATGGAAGAAAAAGATGCAAAGGAAAGAAAGAGAAAATCAACTAACAAGTAAGAGTAATTTCCGGTGATGGTAGAGAGATGATAAGAAGTAATAAACAGCAACAATCAAGTAAAAGCGAAAGGAGATGATGAAGATAAAGAGGGAATAGACTAATTATCATTACTGCTATTAAATGGTTATAATCATTTGAATTATTATCAACCTCCATGACTTGTATTCTGTATATAATATATTCTGAATCAGGATTCGTTGAAAATGCAATATAACGTCTCTCTCAAATCTATGATTTATCTCTCTCTCTCTCTCTCTCTCTCTCTCTCTCTCTCTTCATTTGATGATATACGTTTTTCCAGGTCAAAAGCCGATCCAATCATTGAATCTAACCAGACGTTTGAATTTAATTATCACAATCATCTAAATACAACTCAGCTTTTTTTTACTAACTGTTGCTACTTTTTCATCATAGTCATCATCAGTTATCAGTATTGTAGTTATTATGATTATCATCATCATTAGTCAATCCTTAATTAAACATTAATGTCGGTTTGTGTTACCATTAAAGTTGATTGGGAAAAAAACAAGCAACAAGAAAAGTCTGTGGTAACAACAGAAAAAAAAAGATTCTGTTTGATTGAGAAAAATAATAAAGAATTAATTTTGGTGATAATGATTAAATAAACAAAGCTGTTGATGGTTCTCTCATATATATTAATTAATATAAACTAATCAATGTTGATTTGGTTAAGGTGATAAAAGATGCGAGTTTAAATTGTGTATATAACAGAAAGTGTCATTAATTCATCATGAATGAAAGTCATTATGAGTATGCTAGTGAGAGAGAGTTGGTTAATTAGTCAAGAATTTGTTGATTGTTATCATAATCACAAAGAAATATGTTTAATAAAAGCGAGTTTACTTAAGGCTAAATAAGTGTATAAATATTACCTTGAGTTAATGAACAAGAGATGAGGGTGAGAAAGTTGATTGAGATCTCCCTTGAATTAGTAATATAATCCAATAATTGAATCATTAATTGATTTGAAAGATCAATGTGATGATGTGGTTGTTGTTGATGATGATGAGAACTGGGATGCTCTTGATGGTAACGATGATTAGTTTGTTGATTGTCCGGGTCAGATGAACGGTAGACAAGGAAAACTTTGTTAATTTTGTAACTTTTTGAAATTTCTTTCAACACTTGTTGATATTTGATTGTGTCTCTTTTATCAATTGATTTACCGTTCATGGAAATATCAATAAATGAACAACCCAGTAATCCAAGTTGATTGATAATATATGGATGATAATGTGATGCTGATGGTTTATTATTATTATTATTGTTATTATTTGATGATGGCGGTGTCGGTGTCAATGGTTGATGGTTTGTTGATGAAATTGGTGTTAATGGAAATGAAGATAAACTTGTTGATGAATTGGAGGATGAAGATAATAATAATAATGGTGAAGATGATTGTTCCTTATTATTACTAAATGATGATGATGATGGAAAAGACATCATCATATCTTTGGATGATTGATTAATAGGAATAAGAATAAAATTGCAAATTGAATCATATCGACGGGATTTCTCAATAATTTCAAGTTCTAAATCACCTGGTTGACCAATGATCAAATTAACCAAAGGTAACTGATTGTTTGATCGAGTTGATTGTTGTTTGCATTTTGTTTTAGGTTCAATTTTTATGATTTCAGGTGAATCAACACCAATCAATGGGCAAATGATTCCACTGTTTATTTGGTTGGCCATTAAATCAGCTAAACGGTGATGAGGATGATTACCTGTGGTTCCTGTTTTATTTGGTCCAATTGATTGGAAAACTCCTTCCGGTGTAGCACCATAATAGGTTATATTTTGTAGGAAAATGGCCAATCCCAGGTCATCGTCAATCGACATGGGAAACTTGTTAAGGTCAACGCACCTTCCGCCAATCGATAAACATTTCAACAAAACTCTTGATTACCTTTGACCTGATCGTAACTATTAACATCTCTATTGGTTATATTATTATTACTGTTAGTGTTAATAACTAAATCACATCCGTAACCATTAGTTAAAATTTTAATTGTTTGCTCAATTTCTTGGCCGTTTATTGTAATTAGAAACTGTTTATCAACCAGTGAGGGAAAACGTTTTACCAGGTTAACCTTTTCCTCCTCCGTTTCCACCGACAGGTAAATGGTGCAATTAAATGATAAACAAATTGTTATAATAGCCCAACCAACCGATGTATGACCGTTAACAATTAAAACATTTTCACCACGTGCTAGACGACCAACAATGATTAGACCATAATAAGCCAATGAATAAGGTATTGGTATTGTTGCTGCTTCCTCGAGTGACCATTGAATTTGATTGTAAGACCAACGGTGGACAATTAGATAATCATCTGTGATTTCATCATATTTAATTATTCCAATTTCACCAATTTCATCTTGTAAACCTTTCCGTGAATAACCAATTAGTGAACCACAATAATTAGCAAGTTGATTACAACAAATAACAATTGAAGTATCATAATCATTTGGTGACAATAGTTTAATCAAAGTCTCATCGTCAATACGAGTCAAGTTACTTGCTCCTATTGTTGATTGTAACAATTTAGATGATGGTACTGATGATGATGATGATGTTGTTGTTGATAATGATGATGATGATGATGATGATGATGATGATAAGTTGATTGGTAAATAATGGTAACTTCCTTGAACACCATCACTTAAAACAGTATAAGTTAAACCAATTGGTATAAATTGATTGAAACAATTTTCATCATTTGTCTCATTAATTAACCATTTCAATGGTATTGTTTGATTATCAATCTTTAATCTATCAATTAAACCAATAGATGAGGATAAATTGTCAACCAATAAGCAATTTAGATTATTTGATTCATTTGAAAATGAAGGTAATTTAAATGATGAATTAACTTTATGAACATTGATCAAGTTTTCATCAATTGACCAACGAATCAGATGAATGAAACATTGATCAGATTGTGAGGAAAATACAAAAATTAATCCATTTGATTTGAGATAATTAACTAACTCATTATTGTTTTCACCGTAATCAGAATTGATTGTTGTTGTTGATTGACGAACGATAATAAAATCAAAAGTTGATTTTGTCATCAAACTAATTGATTCACTAATAGAATCAATTAAACTGGTTGAATTATCTGTTTCAATAATCAACAAACGGTTACTTATCATCTCATTTAAATCATTTCCTTTTCCGTCTAATTGTGTTTTCTTATTGGTAAACTGATTAAGTGAATCAAATTTAATCCAATTACATTGTGATGATCGTCGTTTTTGTAATTCATCTCTAATTAACTGTCCAAGTGAATTTTCATCATTTCTTTTGGTATCATTACGATTGTCCTTATTTAGAGTTGCAGTTATCAATGTTATTGGTGATTCGTTTTGCTGTTGTTGATTACAATCAGTAAATTCAATCAAATGATCAACTATAATTGTGATACATGTTTCCAATGGATGATAAACTTTCTGGTTAAATGTTGGTATAAATTGTTCAATTCTCGCTTCCATTGGATTTAATTTACATGGTAATTGTGATTGGAATGATCCAAATTGTATTCCTCTGATATAAATTGATTCTGATCTAATTATCTTTGAATATTTATCATAGGTGATGGTGACAGTTGATTCTTGCGATAATTGTCCAGGAATACAATGGATTTCGTCCAAACGAATTGGTATATTGTCCATTTTTCTGGTGATTGAACTTGAATTTTCCTGATTGTTGAAAAAACTGGTAAATTGTAACATGGATTCAAACCTTATAATCCAATCTTGATTGTTACTCATAATTCCTGTGTTTGTTTTATCATTTACCTGGATTACATTTCTTAAATTACCTTGATAGTGAAGACCATTACGTGATAAAATACCATAGAAAATGTTGGACTCAATACAATTGGAATCACCATATTGACCATTATCATCGTGATTTTGATCAGCAATCATTTCATCGCCATTGGAATCATTTAAATCGGATACAAGCCTGTCATGATTACTAAATTATCGGAATAAGTTTCTATGGTAAACTTATATTTGCCTTGATTGGTTGGAAGAAATTTAATCAGAAACGATAATTTCTGATCATCAAACAATGAAAGTCGATGTAATTTAATACGCTCCAAACAAACAGCTAAATCATTGGTACTGTGAGCTGTTAATGAAGCAAATTTAGACCAAAGCAAATGAATTAAACCAGAAATTGGAATCACTTGGTAACCATTATAATGGAAAAACCCAAGATATTGTTTATCACTTTCATTAATGTTGATGGTAAATTTTCCTGAGCTGAGCTGTTGGAATTGAAATATTCGGAAATCGACGAACCAAATGACCATTTGAATGGTCAAGTTTGATTAAAGGTGAAAGGAAAGGTGTATCAACTGGAGATGGACCAATCAATTTATGGGAATAAATTGATTCCAAATTGATTGGACAACCATTCATGTAAAGATTTCCCAATGAAGTTAAAAAGCTACCAGGAAGCTCTGGATAATGACGATGATTGTTTTGATTGTTATGGTCATCTATCTGGATCAATTGTTGATTACCAACTTTAAAGGAACCTCAACAATCAATGATTCAGTTAGATTACATTTTAACAAGGATGTTAAAAATTTTCTCGGTGCTATTTCAATACAAATCGCATTTTTTGGTATCGATTTACAAGCCTTTTCAAATTGAACTGTATTCGCAATTATTTCAACGCAAAGTTTTTGAATATTAAGTGATTTGTCGCTATTCATACTTGAATCATGAGATATTATCCATTTATCACTTGGTTTACGATAAACATTTGAAAAATGGGTCAACTTGCAGCGGAAAAGTTCAATAATCTTACCCAATGCTTGAGTATGGAAGGCAAATCCACAGGAATCAATGATCCGATTGAAAATATTCTGAACCTTTAGATGATTCGAAAACTGGACAATATCTTCAGTGAATCCAGCGAGTGTGATATTATCTCAGTATTGAAACATGCTGGATACAGATTGTTGGGTATTAGTGGTAATAATTCATCCCAGGTCAATGCAACTGAGATCATTGAGTAGCTTTTAAATGTTTGCGATTCAGCGATAATCGAGGAGATTATTTGAACAACCGAATAGCAAATGTCCAGAACTTCAGCTTTGGATAAAACACCATCGGCATAAGCACAAAAATATTCACCAAACGAATGACCAACAATAATGTCCGGTACAATTCCAAGTGATTTAAGAGTATCAACCACAGCAATTTGAAATATTCCCAGAGTGAAAATTTTCCAATGAGATTGTCGAGCATTTGAGATCATTTCTCGAACATTTTTACTTCCATCTGAATCAACAAGTGACAATGAATCTTCAATTGATTCTCTAAAAGGTTTCAATCCCATGAAAGGTTGAATCATATTATCGATTTGACAACCAGCACCAGGGAATGCGAAGCAGATTGGAAATTTCGTTGAACTGGAAGGCAACTCATGGGAAGAGATTTTCAGTCCTTTTCGAGGACAAGAGATTATGTAACTTCGATGGTTCATCTTTCTTTCTTGATTCGCTGTGGTTGACATAAAGTACGAATAACGGTTCACTAGATGAACGAAATGAGGTGTTATTGATTCGGGTTTCATCTCAACGATTCCATTCATCATGGATTGGAGGGAGATTGTGGTTCGACCACAGCATAAGATTAAAACGGCTTCTCTCTGGACGATGACGATACTTTATCCTGGACATTTTGAATTGACCGTCCAAGAACAATGTGACAATTAGCACCACCGAATCCGAAATTATTGATCGGTATATATTGACCTTTGAATGGTGTTTCTTTTAAAACTGGAGCGACAAAACCTTTCTCCAATTCTGTTATGTGGGTTGAAGGTTTTTCGTAATGAAGATTTGCTGGAATAGAATTTAATTTAAAAATGATTAAACATTTAATCAGTGAAGATAAACCAGAACCCGCTTCTGAATGACCAAGGTTACTTTTAACCGAACCCAAAAGTAAAGGTAACTTTGATCGGCCATTACCCATAACTGACCAGAGAGCTTTAATTTCAACCATGTCACCAACTTCGGTACCCGTTCCATGGCATTCAAAGTATTCCAATTTTGTCGGATCAATGGAACTTTCTTTATAACATTTACTTATTAGGGAAGCCTGAGATTGCCATGATGGATAAGTGATTCCCTGAGGCTTATAACCATCACAATTGATTACTGAGTTAATTAACTGACCATGGGATCTTTGAGCAGTACAAGATTTTTCGAGAATTATAGTTGCCACGGTTTCACTTCGTCCATATCCCGATGCATTTGCGTCAAGAAATTTACACTGACCCATTTGTGAAGTTAAACCAAGTCTATGGTAAGATAAAGCGATCGCTGGAGTCCACATAATATTGGCACAAGAAACGATCGCCAGGTCAATATGACCACAAGTTAAATGGAGAAATGCTTGAGCTAAAGCGGTGAAACTTGAGGAACAAGCAGTTTCGTACAGAAAAGCACCATTCTTAATGTTGAATATGTGGGCAATCAAACGCTCTTGTGTCTGTAGATTAGTTGATTTCCCTTCAAATTCAACTGAATAACGATTCATTTCGTTATTTGTTTGTCCATGGAACAATCCAACCTTCCTTTTATCAAGATTCCATGGGTCCAATCCTGTAAAATGTGAATTAGATTAAGAAATAATCAAGTTAATCTAGTTTGCAAAAAAAACTACACCAAACTTTGATCAATGAAATTATGCTAATAATCAATAAAATGGAAAAGTTAATTGTTGTTGACTTCCTTGTGTTTGAAATCTCTATGTCATTCTGATAACCAAAGTTTAACAATTAACTGAGCATTTTTTCATACCATTAAGTTAAGAATTTGTATTATAACAATTAACTTTAATTACCTGCATCACAAAGGGCTTCGAATGTAGTTTCAATGGTACATCTTGTCGAGGGATCAATTAAATCCGCTTCTTCATCAGTTAATCCAAAAAACGAAGCATCAAAATTTTGTAAATCCAATAGAGCTCCACTTTTTGATGGTAAACCATAAATTCCTGGAAAGTTAATCAACCAATCAAATGAAAATTAATCACAATTAACTTGAGAATAATAATGATTATCGTTCTTACCCTTTGGCCATCTTTCTTCATTATCGTAGGTCATATCAACGCCTTTGTAAAGTTTATCCTTTAGTTGATTAACATTAGCACAATTTGAGAATCGCCCAGAGACTCCGGAGATGATAATTTCTGGTCGTTCATTCATTATTAATGAATAACAATTAATAATAACAATTAACTACTAATAACACAGAGTAATTCAATCTCAAACAGAGATAGAGGGAGAGATGACAATTAACCACGAAAATAATATAATACAGAAAATATTAATAAACAAAAGAAAACAAATTGTTAACACCAAACGAAAGATGATCTTGATTGGAAATAAACATTAACCACAATCAAATAGATCAGATTAATTAACTTCTATATTTCCTCTAATTATAAATCGAGAGTAAAATTTATCCTCCACCAGAATTCACAGATTCACATGTACACGTTCACGATTTATATATATATATATATATATATGTATATCCTCACAAGGAAAGGCGAAAATTAGAAATAAATTGTTGATCAACAATTAAAACCCGAGTTAGAAAGGTGATTGAAATTATCTAAATTAAAATTAATTGTAAAGTCTTTTCGTTTTATATAACAACAAGAACGAGAAAAAAACAAGCTAACCCACCAGAGGGCAAAACGGAAACTTTTCTTGTTTACAACCCTTTAATTGGCTGTTTATTTCATCAACAATTAACTTAATCGTGAATCAATTTGATCTCATGTGAATCAATACTATGACACACTATGTTTTCAAATTGAATTGTATTTAATCAAATTGTTAGACAAAAAAAAATACACTTCCATAAACACGAGCTGTATGTTCAATCATTGTACTTGTCAAGGTTTTATTTGGATTCTATTAAAAACTAAAACAAAACAAAAAGTGATTAATTTTAATTCTGACACATTGTTGATTGGATTGACTGACAATTTAAAACGGTAATGATACGTTGTTGACGATGATTAACCAGAATTGTTGACAGTTATATTTGCATAGCTTGGCTTGATTATCGGCGATAAATTGATCCCATGGCAGATTAAACTTTGAAGAAATGCTGAAGAATCATAAGTTATCCTGATTCCTTTCCTGAGGTCAAATTAACTTTCTCGGGAAATTCAATGATTGAACAGAAAGATGGACATTCGTTTGACAATTTGTTGGTTTGATTATTTTCAATTGCCTGTCGTCGATTTGTGGACATGATGAAATTCAATAGATCGGAAAATATCATATTGATAAATCCAGTCATCGTTATCGCTTTTAGATTAACATCAGGATTCTCACGTTTAATTAATTGTTCCAATTCACTGATCAATTGTGAATTAATTTCCGTCTCGTTAAGACCCATTGAGGATAATTTTTCCGCTCGAAAGCAAAAATCTTGTAACGTAATTCCCTTAATTGTTACAATAGGTGAAACTTGAGAGACTGGATTACCTGTTGATTTAAATGTTTAATTAAATTGTTAATTGTTGATATTTTATTTATTGTTATCGATTAATTGATTTTACCTTTAATTGTTACGATAATATTGATGAAAATCATCAGAGAAATTGAAAACATTGATGAATCCATTTTTTTCACTCGCTGATTATTACGTTCAAACTAAATCTAAATTGTAATTAAAGTTTCGTTACAATCAAAATATTAACAAAACTTGTGCAATTATCAAGTTAATTGTGTTAACATAATTAAATACATTATTAATAATTCACAATTAATTAATGCTAAAAACAATACAACTTGTTTAACTTTCCATATGTGAAAATCATGAATAGCAATTTATTATTTTCATTAAGGTTAATCAACTCAATCCTAAAGGTGATTTTAATTGTAATCAGGGTTAATCAACAATTGATACTGACGATTTTTCAACAATTATTGTGAATGATTAAAAATTCATTGACTACTTTAGTTAATCATTCAAAGGTCTAGTCACAATTTACTTCCTGTAAACTATTGATTCAACTGATTAAAGTCTAGTTGAATCATTGATAAAATATCTCAATGATGATTAAACAACAAAGTTAATCTAATCATTACAATCAAAAACCACAATTAACAAAACCGGACAATTAATTACAATTAACAAAAATCATAATCATGGCGATAAATTATCCCAATAATAATCATCGCTAGGATTTGAAAGATAAAAAATCAACTTATAAATATTGATAACGATGATGTAAATTCAGTAATTAATTATAATTTTATCATAATCAAATTTAAATTTAAGCAAATACACAAAAGTTAAACTGCCTACAACTAATTGCGATTTACAATTAACAACGATTAATCTGTGGTCCAATTTTACAATCCAAATTAAGTTAACTAAATTGGTTGATATATAAATAGATTCACTTGTATTGAGCAGGATTTTATTTTGAAACAGTATCAACTTGAATACCTTTAATTGTTAATCATGAATTCACTAATCTTTACTCTGGTAATCGTTATTATCGGTTCCATTGACTGTGAGTATGATCATTGGTTGGATTTTAGTCTTGATTAATTGATTGTTTTTATTGATTGTTTTTAGACACTGTTGGTGGACCAATAACATTTGTTATTTCTGGAGCTGAAATGAATGAAGTTTGTAATTTAGCCCAAAATTTGACAATCAATGGATTATCTCGAGATGATATTTCCAAAACTTTGGATCGTCAGTTACATAAGATATTGGGATTAACTGGATCTTTGAAGAAATTTCCAATCGTCCGTTACACAGGTCGAATCAAGTCACATCCGATGCTTCGTTATAAACGAGGTGATGAAACTTACATTGGATCAGGTACACATTCAGGGGAAGGTAATACCGATGCAGAAGATGCATCGGCTGGAGCAGTTACACAAACTGGAACATTTAATTTCAACGTTTCTGATTTGATCTACATTGTAATCGATGCCTTGAGTTTAAAGGCCAAGAAACGATGTCTTCCCAGTCAATCACTTTGCTCTTCAATTGTTTTACCTGAGACAATTGATCTACTTGATCAAGAACAAATTTTATCAATTATCGATCAGTTCGTTCAATTACAGAACTCATTAATCAATTGTGATTCATCGTAATTATTTACTGTCTCAATAAGGGAGAGTAACAAGATTACGAAATAAAAATTGAAAATTGTATTAATAAATTTGTCTTAATAGGTTAATCCAGTATTTAAATTAAACTTTAATTTAATCAGTTAGTATATTTTAATCATAACCATGGCGATAAATTATCTCAATAATAATCATCGATAGGATTTGAAAGGTACAAAATCAACTTATAAATATTGATAACATTTATGTAAATACATTTCTCAATCATTAATTATACTTTTATCATAATCAAATTTAAATGTTAAGCAAATACACAAATGTTAAACTGCCTACAACTAATTACGATTAACAATTAACAACGATTAATCTGTGGTCTAATTTTACCATCCAGATTAAGTTAACTAAATTGATTGATATATAAATAGATTCACTTGCATTGAGAATGATTTTATTTTGAAACAGTATCAACTTGAATACCTCTTTAATTGTTAATCATGAATTCACTCATATTTACCCTGGTAATTTTTATTATCGGTTCTATTGACTGTGAGTATAATAATTGGTTGGATTTTAGTCTTGATTAATTGATTGTTTTTATTGATTGTTTTTAGACTCTGTTGGTGGACCCGTTTCATTGGTAATCTCTGGATCTAAATTGAATGAAGTTTGTACATTGGCTCAAAACTTGACAGCTGATGGTGCAAATCGAGACGATATCGCCAAAATTATAGATGCTCAACTACACCAGATATTGGGACTTACTGGACTCTTGAGGAAAACACCAATCGTCCGTTATGTGCGCCTAAATAAATCCAACCCAATGGCTCGTTATGGTAAACGATCCTTACGACGTGGTCCATACATGGGATCAACTACACATTCAGGTGAACGTAATGATGCTTCACCTGCAGATACTGATGGAACTACACAAACTGGAACATTTAACGTGAACATTTCTGACTTTATTTACCTGTTGATCAATGCCTTTAGCAGAAAGTTAAAGGCTCGTTGTCTTCCCAGTCAATCACTTTGCTCTGCAATCGTTTTACCTGAAAAAGTTGATCTTCTCGACCAGCAACAAATGGTATCAATTATCGATCAGCTTTTCCAATTACAAGGCTCACTAATCGATTGTGATTCTTCATAAATTGTAATCTTTTTGCAACAGCAAAACTAATTGACAAATAAAATGGATTAACTTATTAATAGTTGAAGCGAAAATTAATCATCTAATCTTGATGAAATATTTTATCAATTGTTAAAAGAAAAACTTATTGATTGACTCTTCATCTTTTTATTTATTAATAATTCATCGAAGGATAAACCAATAGATTATCAGGTTTGTATTTTTCTGAAGGGTTGGACATTTACCTGATTGTGTTTTGTTGCGAAAATAGTTTTTCTTGAATAGTGGTGACTGTATTTTCGAGCTGTTTCAGCTTTTCTCCTTGTAATTTAAGGCCACTTTGGATCAGTTGAGTTATCCTTGTCGGACATCAGTTTCGTTTGTTGGATCAATTTTTTCAGGGAAATCAAATTGTGAACATGATATTGGATCTAAATCTCATGTATTATTATCAATATTAACAACTTGTTGTCCAGCGGTGGTCAAGATATCATAGATATTTGGTTTAAAGAGATCAGGATAACCTTCAGGAAATTGATCATTTTCCGAAATCGAGGTGATCCCCTCTTTGGCATTTAACAATATCGAGAGCAACAGTTGAATAATAGGTAAAACTATGGATGAAACTATGGGTAAAAGTAAGGGTAAAAGAGGTCCAAGTAAGCCCACAATAAGATCAACTAAAAAACGATTTCCATTGTTTGTAAAGGGGATCAATAAGTTTCTTTGTAATCCAAAGGTTTATCCAAATTTATTAGTGAAATCCTCTAAATCATTAAACACCAATTGGTTGATCTTTTCAGGACTTAATCCCAATTCCTTGGCAGTTTGAGTAGTTTCACATACTCGAAGGAAAAACTCTCGAGGTAAACTTAGTCCAAAACAAACTGTGAATACGAAACACAATTGATTGAAAAAAAAAGAAAAGATAATTACGATCAATTTAAATGATTACCTGATAATAGTCCGAAGAAAGTGGTTAATTTAATTATTGTCTTCATAGTGTAACGTGCTTGTAACTTCAATAACCACAAACTTTGATTGTTTACTCTTTATCTGATTGTAAATCATTTAATAACAATTAGTTAAGTCTGACAATGAATTAAATGTGAAATTTAGTGTTTTTATTTGAGAAAAGTTGAAACCAACCAATTAAACAGCAGTTTTAATGAATCTTTAATTTGGTAAATTAACAACACAAATTCATTTCATATATTCACATACAGGGTAGAAAATAAAAATGCTAGTAGAGACTAATTAACTCTAATTGTTTCTTAATTAACTGGGCACCAAATCAACTGGTGTTTAAGCCACAGGAAAAAAAGGCAAATTCATTTTATTTTACACCCTGTATTCTAATGAGAAATTCTCGTTGATTTACAAATCAAGTTGTAAATTCGCAAGATGATTTGATTTACATAAAAAAAAGAAAAGATAATTACGAGAAATGAAGAGACAATTTAAAATTTAAATTGTATATGATAATAATAATCAGATGAAAGTGTTAATCGTCTTCATGATTTAATTTTCTTTGTCTTCGATAGCGTAATCAAATACGAACCATAATTTGACTAATTAATATGACAGACATCTCGACATGTGTGTTGAACACTGTTTATGTAAATGGACAATTGATAATTGTGTATAATTAAAATCACAATTAACATAACTAGTACCACATAATACATTAATCAATTACTATTGAATTTTCTGGATAATTGTTGAAACTTTTTGTTCATTTAAATTGTTACTTTTTAACAGAACCTTTTAATTATTAGTAAATTTGTATAATTAAAATCACATTAACATCTCTACAAGTACAGGGTGAGCAAGAAAGAACTCCGAACGTTTGTTTTCGAATAGCTTCGAAATGGTAAACATAATTATTGTTATTTTTTCTTTATTCTCTTGTAGCTCAATATTACATGAAGATGAATTACAGAATTTCTCAGTAACTTTCACCGAGTTACCAAGAGGTATAGTCGAGTTCCCAATTGATTTAGTCAACCTGATAGATGGGAGAATTTTTTTCATTTCTTTTTCAATGAGTTTCGCAGATTATCAATTAGTTTGGTCAACTTCTCGGAACAATTAGTCAAGTAGCTTTCTCATTGAGAAGACAATTACAAAAAAATGGTTTCAAATCACAATTTGATTGTTTCATCTCAAAATATTTTAGTAAACATGATTAAATTTTTTTCCATATTGTATTCCATATTGAAAATTGTTTTAATTTTTGCCGTAATCACTGTTGAATTTTGGGTAATTTTTCATTTAATTCATCTTCATGTAATATTGAGTTAGTTGACTAATTGTTTCGAGAAGCTGACCAAATGAATTGATAATCTACGAAATTCATTCAAAAAGAATTGAAAAAAATTGATTTATTCGGGAATTTTTATGTGGTTGTGTGGGTTGCAAACTCGCGTAATTAAGTTTTCATCTATTTAATGATCAAAATTTTGATATTACAATTATGATAAATCAGTCGATAGTATGGTAATATTTTAGCTAATCTCGTACTTTTTTAATTTATTAAGGGAACAATTTCTCTTGGATATCGGTAAATGTATTTTCGAGCTGTTTCAGCTTTTCTCCTTGTAATTTAAGGCCACTTTGGATCAGTTGAGTTATCCCTTGTCGGACATCAGTTTCGTTTGTTGGATCAATTTTTTCAGGGAAATCAAATTGTGAACATGATATTGGATCTAAAGCTGATGAAACCTGTTGACCAGCGGTGGTCAAAATATCAGAGATATTAAAGAGGTTAGGGAATTGGACATTCTCTTGGATCAATATCACATTTTTAAAAATGACTGATATTAAAGTTCCTAATAGATCAAGGATTAGGTTGAGTAAGCCTAAGACAAGATCTTTTTGTTGGAAACCAGGCCAAGTACCATTGTTTGTGAGATCTCTCTTACTTGAATCTCTTTGTAATTTAGAACTTAATCCATAACCAATGAATTGCTCAAAATCCTCAATCGCCATTTGATTTACCGTTTCTCGGCTTAATCCCAATCTCTCGGCCTTTTGAACAATTTCACATATTCGACCAAGAAACTCTCGAGGTAAACTAAGGGCAAAACAAACTGCAAGTCCGAATCATAATCAATTCATTCAATTAATTTACAATAGAAATGATAATCGAGCACAATTAAGAAACAATTTACTCACCGGATAATAACCCAAAGAAAGTGATTAGTCTAATCATTGTCTTCAGCCTTGATTGTTCACTACTTATCTGATTAATGGCATAACAACAATTAGAGACAGTTAAATAAATCAATTAAAAGTAAATCTTTTGTTTCATGATTTTTAATCTATTCCTAGAATTAATTAAGCAACAGTTCTTATGAATACATTCAATCTTAATTACTACCATATTAACATAATGCTTATGAAAATGGACACATTTATGACCTTCAGCAATCTATCAACAGATACAAGTTGATTCAAGTACTAATTTCCTCGTAATTAACGGGAAATTAAACGAAACTCTTAATGTTTATTAATGTTAGTTTGATTCATTGGTTGATTTATTATAATTCCAATGTTTCACCGTGACTACTAACTGTTATGTTATTAATATACAAAAGGTGCTATCCATTTATTCAATTAACAGTTAGTTTATTAACCTTAACGCGATTGAAAATGTTAATTTTAATCAAAAGCTGTTGACAATTTGACAATAATTACGAGACTTCATTTTGGTTAGCAACAATGAAGAGAAAATCAGTAGAAAGCTCAGATTTTATCTCTGATTTATTTGAATATAAATACAATCTTTTCACTTCGATTTTAGCATAATTCAATTAACTTATTAACACTCACCGAGAACTAAATCAGTGTTCAATCATGAATTCAATCATCTTTACCTTAGTTATTGTTATTGGTTTTATCGACTGTAAGTAGATATGGATTTCAATTGAAATGATCGATTCGTTGGATTGATGAATTTTTTTTATTTACTTTGGTAACTTTTTTTTTAGATTCTGTTGGTGGACCAGTTTCATTGGTAATCTCTGGATCAAAATTGAATGAAGTTTGTGAATTAGCTCAAAATTTGACAGCCGATGGAAAAAATCGAGACGATATCGCCAAAATTTTAGATGCTCAACTACACCAGATATTGGGACTTACTGGACCCTTGAAGAAAGTCCCGATCGTCCGTTATGCGGGTGCAACTAAGTCTCATCCAATGGCTCGTTATGGTAAACGATCCTTACGAATGGGTCCATACATGGGATCAACTACACATTCAGGTGAACGTAATGATGCTTCACCTACCGATACTGCAGGAACTACACAGACTGGAACATTTAACTTTAACGTTTCTGATTTAATTTACGTGCTGATCAATGCCTTTAGCAGAAAGTTAAAGGCTCGTTGTCTTCCCAGTCAATCACTTTGCTCTGCAATCGTTTTACCTGAAAAAGTTGATCTTCTTGACCAGCAACAAATGGTATCAATTATCGATCAGCTTTTCCAATTACAAGGCTCACTAATCGATTGTGATTCTTCATAAATTGTAATCTTTTTGCAACAGCAACACTAATTAACAAATAAAATGGATTAACTTATAGTAATAGTTACAAAAAAATGATGCAAACTTTCAATTATTTTATCTAAATGATTTCTCAATGTGAGTTGACCAAAGATTGACTATCTAATCAAATCAATCTCATGAAACTATTGATACACTTTTTATATCTTATTAATAGAATTGATTGAACAAAAGTATCGTGTTTCAGCACAGTTCCAAAAATGAGGGAACATGATTTTAGAACAATGTAAGCGAATTTTTATCAGGTTCAAATTGATCTAAGTGCTTGAATTAAGCATAAGATTTTGTTTGCGAAAAAATTGCCCTTAGTTAAGCGACAAATCAGCTTAAAGGGTTGTTTCCCTTGGCGAAAAGTTTACTTGATACATTGACCAGGGCTATAAACTAATGGTCAGTTAATTCATGAGAACCAATTGAATTTTTATTCGATTAAAGTTCGATAAATTAGTTCGTTTTAAATAATAATCAATATTTCGAGGAATAATAATTTAGGTATTGAAACTGAATTAAGAGTTACTATTCAAATTTAATATCAAACTCTTCGTGGTCCAACCTAATAATCCAAAAGAGATACAACTAGATGAACGAAATGTTTCAACAATTATTATTTAAATAAGATTGGAAACTTTCAGCAAATGACTTAAATTGTTTTTCGTCGGATAAATCAACGTGATCAGGGAAGGTGGTTGCTGAACATATATCAGCTAACGAAGGGCACTTAGAACTTGACCTTAACTTTCCAACGTTTAAGTCGATGACGATTAGATCTGTCCAACTTGTATTGAATGCGCCTTGTTGATTGACGGTGTGAGAGTGTGTTGATGGATCACTTGATGCGTATCCCAATGATGGTTTACCTGGTTTCTTAATTTTCTGTCCATTCATATCAACCAATTGTTGTAATTGTTTGGACACAATTTTTTTAACTTTACCAGCACTCTGACCAGCGGTCAACAAGTGAGCTGCAGTGTAACAAGCTTTCTTTAATTGCGACCCAGAGACAACTGATGAACCATAAACACCTTAATAATATACGAGAGTGAAAATAATTTCAATCAAATCAAAAGTATCATGAGAATAGTTTTATAATCAAATTGTTATTACTTACATGCAGTTAGATAAGCAAAAGTCAATGCAACAATTAAAATCGACTTCATGATTAATTTGATTTGTTGGCGATTTAACTCTTTCTATCAATGTTATATTACTAATGGACGATTATCAACAACTAGAACCCAATATATATGATTTATATTTGCATATAATCGTTAATTAATCAACAATTAACTCATCTAAACGTTTGTTAAACTAATTCATTGCATATGGCTGAAAGTGATCATCATAATTTAATCACAATTAACTTTTTTTTCATCTGATCAATTGTTATGCTAATTTTTTTTTCATCAAATCGTTTATTTTAAAAGATAAATCTGTTAATTGTCACACTTATTGATATGATAACGAAATTAGATTATTATTAATAATTTGATTGTTTAATGTTCGTGGACAATGATTAAAGTAATAGAAAGTATAATGACAATTAAAAGTAAGGTGAATGTAATCAATCAATAGGCAAGTGACTTTAATTGTCTTTTTGGACTGAGTCAATCAATCGGTTGTTTGACCTGAATGGACATCGATGAGCGATCTCTTTTTTCATCAGAATTTGTTCCCTTAATGAATCGAGCTGCTCTTGGTCATCTAGATCTATCTGATCGGGAAAATAGACCAATGGACAAACTTCAGTTACTTCAAGGCAATCATATTGTCGGAAACAATTCATCAATGATATTGTTGCTTGAATTATATTTGAAAAGTTGATATTAAATGTTCCCGTTTGATTAACTGGACCACTTCCACCAAGAGCTAAATATGCATATCCAAGAGATGGCTTTATACCGGGTTTTGATTTACGATTTAATTGTAACAATTTATGAACGACAATTTTTTCAACTTGATCATCTTCTAAACCGCTGGACATTAAATGGGCACTCATTGAACAGGCTTCATCTAATTCGGATCCAGCAATTAAATATTCCCCATTGATACCTAATGAAAATGAAAAAATCAACAGACATTTATAATAATTATTGATATTAAATTGTTACTTTTGATTGTGAACACTTACAGTTAGTGAGAGTTGAAAAATAAAAAACAATTAAAACTCTGTTGATTTGGAGCATAGTTTAATTTAAATTGTCAACTTACAAACTTGTTAGTGATAATCTGTGGTTACGATTGAACCCAATTCGGTTGGATCATAACTTATTGTATACATTGTATGTATATTATACATATAACACAAGTCACATATTGAATAATTCATATTGATCATTTCCAATGATTCATTTGAAATCTACAAATGTTGATATGTAAAAGATATCATATTATTTAAATAATTAAAGAATAAATTAATAGTTGGAGATAACAATTAAATTTGGAGATTGTAAAAGTTTGGATATCTTTATCATCTACGTCGCAATGGCTTTTGATTGAATCATCTTTTAGTATTGGTTGTAGATACGCAGAGGTGAGGAAAGTAGTTTAAGATCACATTTATGGACTAAATCTTTTTTCAATCTTATTTGTTTAACTAACGAATTAATTTGCTTTTGATTATCAAAATCAACTTGATCGGGAAAATTTATGATTGGACATGGGTCGGATAATGGAAGACAAGTCCGTTTTCCAGACAATGTACAATTAATTAGGTTGATTGTTGCGTTGATAAAATTTCCAACATTGAGATTGAATGGTCCTGATTGAGAATTTGGTCCAGCACGAGTTCGTATATCAGAGTGTAAGTATCCAAGGGGAAGACTTTTACCTTTTTTCGATTGTCGATTAAATTGTAACAACTTGTGAAAGAAAATTGGTTCAATTTGATCCTCCTTCCAACCACTGGACAATAAATGGACACTAACTGAACAAGCTTCATCCAATTCAGATCGTGAGACCAAATATTTCCCATCGATATCTGCAAATCAAACATAAATTAGCTAATTAGAGTTTTTAATTTAGTGGATTTTTTATTATTACTTACACTTAATGCAAAACAAAGTGACCAAAGTAAAGAAAAAGACCCACCTGATTAGCGATATCATACTGATTTATCTTCAGTAATTAAAACACAAGCAACTCCAGAATTAGATAGAAACACCAACACCATCAATCTAATGAAAAAAATTAATCACCTTTTGCTGAAATGTAGTTGGTACAATGATCTAAGTCTTTGCACCTTCAAACTTTCAAATGAATCTGTTGCAACTGTTTACATACATATCAATCATTTAGCATTCAAATTTACATATTTATCAAAATGATATTTCGATGATTTTTCGTCCACATGAATAATGGTATTTTTTGAGTAACATCACAACAATCCGTTCCCTTTATTTTTAGCTTAATTAAAGGCTCAACGAATTTCTGAGGAATGAATAAATGTGAATAGGAAGAGTCACTACTAGTCTTCATCAGGTAAACAAAATGCAAATCTAAAGATAATCACAATTGAATCAATCGCAAGTTGGTAAGTAATTATTAATAAAAGTTTAATCAATATTAAGCAAAGAAAAATATAAACCAAGGATAAAAAATCGCAAGCAAAATTACCTTCACCCTGACGAGCATCAATCCTTTTACTAGAATTTCTTTCTAGAACTAGAATACTTTTCGGCAAATTCTAACAATTGTCGTTCAATTAGACGAAGAGCTTACATATTATCGTGATCGTTTACTTTCAATTATTGAAGAAAATTTGAAAACTTTGGTTAAACGTAAAGCCATCGGAAGTTATGATCTAAATCGTTTATCATCATATTACCTGTTGATGCAAAAGAAAACCTATGAGGCTGGTCAACATGATATTCCGGTTGGTCTATTGAATTCAGTTCGTTTTACTTTCGCGATAACTTCCAGTCTTGTCTATGCTCTCGATTTACTTAAAAATTATGGACTGAGATCTTTTTACAAGCATGTGAAAGGTACTAGAACTGAAGAAAGTCCCAAAGGCGGAGGTAAAAAAGGTTTCAATTTGGGTAATATCTTGAAGAAAAATACTGTTCTCCAAGAGATATTAGATGATTTGAAGAAGAAATTTGAACCTGATGGTAATGTTACTTTCAATGGTGAGCTCGAATGTGATACTGTCCATTCTGTACCTGGACATCCAAAGCTGGTCAAACTTCAAGAAATTGTACTGAATCATTTTGCCACCGAAGGATCTGATACAAAGGTTATGGTTTTCACCCAATTCCGTGCCAGTGTAGAAGAGATCACATCTCTGTTAAGGCAACATTCACAACTAAGACCAGTCCAGTTCGTGGGCCAAAGCAGCGCCAAGAAACGAGGTTTCTCTCAGAAACAACAATTGGAGGTACTAAGTCGTTTTCGCGAAGGTGAATACAATATATTAGTCACTACTTGTGTAGCGATCTTACCGGACTTGACATCGGTAATGTGGATCTTATCATTTGCTATGATGCAAATAAATCACCTATTCGTTTGGTTCAACGTATGGGTCGGTAAAAAAAGAAACTCTGCAGTCAAAAGATCATCTTCCGGTGGAAGTACAGCTAAAAAACGTAAAAATCGATTCATATTTCAAACTGATGAAGAGATAGATGAAAATCAAGAAAAAGAACAAGAAAAAGACCAAATTAAAGATCCAGTAGAAGACCAAGAGAAAGCTGTAGATGAGGAAGGAGATAAAGACAAAGATAAACATAGAGATGAAAACGATGAAGAAAACGGCTTAGAAATGATGAAAGATCTTTATTTTGTTACGATTGATTGATTTGAAGAGGAGCTGAAAGTAGTTCGGGATCACATTTATGGAAAAAATCTTTTTTCAATCTAATTTGTTGGGTTAGCGAATTAATTTGCTTTTCATCATCAAAATCAACCTCATCGGGAAAATTTATGACTGGACATGGGTCAGTTAATGGCAAGCAAGCTCCTCGCTTCCTCCTTCGCTTCCCTATAGATATGCATTCCATCAGGTTGACTGTTGCGTTGATAAAATTTCCAACATTGAGGTTGAATGATCCTGATTGAGAATTTGGTCCAGCACGAGTTCGTATATCAGAGGGTAAGTATCCAAGAGGAAGACTTTTACCTGGTTTCGATTGTCGATTAAATTGTAACAACTTGTGAAAGAAAATTGGTTCGATTTGATCCTCCTTCCAACCACTGGACAATAAACGGACACTCATTGAACAAACTTCATCCAATTCAGATCGTGAGACCAAATATTTCATATCGATATCTGATCGAAAAACAAAAATATTAATTATTAGAACTGTTAGTTTATTAGAAATTGATTATTACTCACACGACATGGAAAACAATGTAATCAAAGACGAGAAGTAAATCAATTCGATCGCCTTCTTCATGTTTATTGTTTATCGATTCACCCACAGTCAACTATTAGACGACGAAATTAACTACGATAATTGAATTATTAAAATGAATAGCATTAAGGCAAATCAATGATGTAAATAAATTCCCATTCCACTTGTGTAATTGACATTTGCAAATTAATATTCTATGCCAACTGAGTGAGGCAATAAATTTCCATGTTAAATATAATGCATAAACAATCAACAATTACGAAATGAAACAACTTTAATGCAAAATTATATTTGTTACATGCGAACAGTCGAGTATTTAATTCTTGTTAGTTCAAGTGATGAATATGGAAAATGGTCTCATTGAATTGCTTAAATGCGAACAGTTTAATGCGACTAATTAACACTTTGGAAGAAAAGTTTGAGTTTCGGAAAATTATCAATTTCTAAGAATGGATTACGATAGAACAGAGATATTTAAAAGAAATACTTCTGAATAGACAGGAAAGATTCTGTACGAATTCTGCTGTATTGATTTATCAACCATAGAGATAAAAACGAAAAGGATTTGTCAAAATTTCCAATTTGAAAGTTTCAATTACTAAGTATGAGTCTGTCATCAAATTTTGTCGCGAAATTTTCGTGATCCAAATATGTTCAAAACGTCTGAGCTGTCATGAGTTGAAATATTATTCTCAAACCTTTCCTCAGATTATCGGAGGAAAATATAATCAAAATAAGAAGTTTAAATTGTTTGGTGTCCCAACAAAACCATCACTACAATACCTTGAACATTAACATGATTGTATTGCGCCTCAATAAGCTAAAAATCCGCGTTTATTGAATCATTACAAAAAAATTAAACGTTATTGTGGCGTATCTCGTAAAATTGCGAAATTATTATTAGTTAATGAGCTTACTAGTAGCCCATGAATAGCTTGTAGAATTTTTTAGCTCAAACATAAACGACGAACAATGAAAAGATAAGATTACGATGAGACGATGCGACGATTAGAACGTAATTCGTTCTGATGTTTATTATCCATGTGAAGGTTTTCAACTTGATATGAGAAAGTTTTTAGAGCTGTGTTGCATTATTTTAATTGATATTTTTGAATTGATATACAATAAATTGACAAACATGAGAATGATTGGAATATTATCAATAAGATTGCCAATTTTAGAAAATAGTTTATGAATATCAGTTATTAATAGCATGATGATGATTTCGATCGGTCAACTTGCGACCACATCTATGGACAAACATTTTCATAATTTTGACTTGCTTAAGTATCGAGTCTATCTGCTTTTGATCATCTAAATCAACTTGATCAGGAAAATTAATCAAGGGACAGATTTGATCAGCTGGAAGGCACCGATAACGTTTATTGCTGCTCATCAGGTTTATTATTACATTGATTAAATTGCTAACACTGAAGTTAAATGTTCCAGTTTGAGAAACATCATCACTACTATCACTACTATCGTCGCTATCATCGGTATCATCGGTATCAATGTATCCAAGGGAAGGATTTTTACCTGGTTTTGGTTTAGATATCCAGTCAATTTGAAACAATTTACGAACGATAGTTTGTTGAATTTGGTTGTCGTTCAAACCGATGGACATTAAATGGGCACTCATTGAACAAGCTTTTTCCAATTCTGATCCAGAAATGATCTGTTTTCCATTTATACCTGATAATAAAATAGAAAAATTAACAATTAATATCTCAATTTACTTAAAATTGTTGCAATAACTTACAAATGGTGAGGGTTAAAGTTCCCAAAACAATCAACAAAAATAACTTCATCATTGTTATAATCAAATCTACACAACAATTATGAGCTTTCAAATAACAATTAAAAACTCGATCCTAAGTAACTTATACCCGACAGAACTTATAATTTTAAGTAAAAATTCAATATTAATAAGTAACAAGTGTAGACAGTTATTAATAATTAGCTGATTAGACTTTTTAATCTAATTCTAATTCTAATTTTAATCTACCAGTAACTTGAACTATTATGTAAATTGTATAGAAATTTACAAGCTAATTGTATGTCTCTTTTCTGGGAGACTTCGACATTTGTAATCTCTCAACTTGGAGAAACTTTGGAACAAAGCAAATGTCGTGATATTTAACAGTTTCGCTTTAGAAGCGACAATTACAGGTCAGTACATGAAAAATTTGACCAAAGTTTTAGCCTCATCACGACCACGATGATCATGGTTTTGGTCGCATTCTCCATCAGTGAGATTTTCCAACCAAAATTTATTCCACCAGAGTGTAAAATCAATTTCTACTATCTTTAGCTCTAAAAAGTTCTGATATCAAGTTTTTTCGACCATCAAGTGCATAAAAAGGATGCCTCTTGTCTCAACCATGTGGTTTGGTTGACTAAAATCATCTCTCAGTAAAGTTAAATGTTCAAATATCGAACTTGAAAAACCCGATACCTGAGGTGAAAAGAGCAATACAATCATGAGCTTAATGTCTGTTATCGATTATCATTTTCAATTATAAATGTAACTAAAGGGAAGGGCATCTCAGTTAATTTGTTGGTGACGGATTAGATTACCTTACATTGGAGATGACCATCTAGGTAAGATAATACAGTCGGAGAAAATGAGTTTGACGGTGGTTTTATATCGTCGCAAACAATGATAATCAGTCGAAGATAAATCTAATCGGGTGACCGTTTGAAGAGATAATATCAGTTGAATGAGAGGACATTGATTATTATCATATCTTCGGGTTAACTTTATCTCATTGATTATCATCATCGTCGCGAGTAAATTAAAAGTTATTGCAAACTCAAAGTCGACGGCTACATATGTAAATTATATTGCTTTGAATTTGTTCAATTTTTTATGTACTGACCTGTAGTTGAATTTGATTATCTTGTCAATCACTATAAATAAAAGGCTTTTTTGTATTTTTTTTATAATAATAAACTAATAAATTAATCTTTAAGTCCATTAATTGCTTAATTAGGTAACGCTTTAATTTGCCTTAAAAGATTTGGTCTTACAAGTTGATTAGTAATCCGAAGACGAGTTGAAAGTAGTTTAAGATTACATCTATGAACGAAATCTTTTTTCACTCTTATTTGTTTGGATAAAAAGTTAATCTCTTCTTGATTATCAAAATCAATATGATCAGGAAAGTTAATATATTCACAAACTTCGTTCAATGGAAGACAGTCACGTGAAATCGCAAGACAATTCAGCAGATTGATTGTTGCGTTGATAAAATTTCCAACATTGAGATTGAATGGTCCTGATTGAGAATTTGGTCCAGCACGAATTTGAGTATCAGAGTTGTTATATCCAAGGGGAAGACTTTTACCTGGTTTCGATTGTCGATTAAATTGTAACAACTTGTGAAAGAAAATTGGTTCAATTCGATCCTCCTTCCAACCACTGGACAATAAACGGACACTCATTGAACAAGCTTCATCCAATTCAGATCGTGAGACCAAATATTTCCCATCGATATCTTATCGAAAAAAAAAATATTAATTATCAGAACTGTTAGTTTATTAAAAATTGATTATTACTCACACGATATGGAAAACAATATAATCAAAGACGAGAAGTAAATCAATTCGATTGCCTTCTTCATGTTTATTGTTTATCGATTCACATACAATTAGATAGCAAATTAATCGATGAAATTAACTACGATAATCAAATGTTCGAAATGAATAAAATTGAAAAAAATAATGATTTAATTAAATCTCATTTTCATCCGTATTGCGTAATTGACATATGCAAGTTAATGTAGGCTTCAATAGAGTATAATAGTAAATTTCCATATTTAATATAATTTATCAACAATTAACAGTTGTTATCGAAATATTAATATAATATGTTAATTTTGATTATTAGTCCGAAGACGAGCTGACAGCAGTTTAAGATCACATCTATGGACAAAATCTTTTTTCAATCTAATCTGATGGGCTATAGAGTTGATTTGCTTTTCATCATCAAAATCAACTTGATCGGGAAAATTTAAATATTGACAAGTTTTGGTTAACGGGAAACAGTTAAGTGCTAAAGCGACACAATTCATCAGGTTGACTGTTGCGTTGATAAAATTTCCAACATTGAGATTGAATGGTCCTGATTGAGAATTTGATCCAGCACGAATTCGAGTATCAGAGTTGTTATATCCAAGGGGAAGACTTTTACCTGGTTTCGATTGTCGATTTAATTTTAACAACTTGTGAACGACAATTGGTTCAATTTGATCCTCCTTCCAACCACTGGACAATAAACGGACACTAACTGAACAAGCTTCATCCAATTCAGATCGTGAGACCAAATATTTCCCATCAGTATCTGTACGTAAATTATTTAATTAGAGCTTTTAATTAAGTAAACTATGTATTATTAATACTTACATTCAATAAGAAACAAAGTGATCAAAGTATTAGATAAGCAGATCCATCTAATAAGTGACATTATACTGATTTATCTTCAGTAATTAAAACACAAGTAAAACCACAATTAGATGGGAACATCAACTCGAATGATCGAATAAATTTTAGCAAAAACAATTATTTTATTTAATTTCCATATTCAGCCCAATGTTTCAGTAACAGTTGCTATCAAAATGTCAACTTTGTTGGTTTATAACAACCATACGTACATACATGTTCCAAAATTGACAAGATTGAATAATCATGCATTTTTAAGAATTGAGATAAAGATGTGAATTTTATTTAATTGTGCTAATTTAGTGTCTTAAAATTGATCATTGATTCGAAGAGGTGAAGAAAGTAATTTGAGGTTACATCTATGAGCAAAAATTTTCTTGAACATAATTTGTTGGGTTAAAGTACTAATATGTTCATGATTATCTAAATCGATTTGATCAGGGAAATTAATATATGAACAAGTTTCAGTAACTGGTAGACAGTTAGCTCTGATTCGACAATTCATTAGTGATATTGTAGCTTGGATTATATTTGAAACACTGAAATTCATTGTTCCTGTTTGAGCAACTGGACCACTTCCACCACCAGCTAAATATGCATATCCAAGTGATGGCTTTTTACCGGGTTTTGATTTACGATTTAATTGTAACAATTTATGAACGACAATTTTTTCAACTTGATCATCTTCTAAACCGCTGGACAATAAATGGGCACTCATAGAACAGGCTTCATTTAATTGAGATCCAGAAATTAAATATTCCCCATTGATACCTAATAAACAAACAGAAAATTAGTCAAATTTTAGATTGTTGGGTAAACTTTATTAACTTTTGATTACTTACAATCAGTGAGAGTTAAAGTGATTAAAACAATTACCAAAACCGATTTGATTATCAACATGATGACTTATTCTTATTAATCTGATAAATAATATTTTTCAACCAATTTCTACTCTTATATGGTGCCCATGATGATTATCACATGATGAAACTAATCCACACTTGTTAGTTTATGTCAATAATTTGCATTAGAAGCTTGAAAACCAATGAATGATCAGTTCCAACAATTAACTAAAAGGTGTTGTGTTTGATTTCTTCGGGTTAATTTAATTGAAAATTATCATAGCTAATTAATGAAGGATCAAGGGTGAATTGTCAACTCGTTTGCGAGTAATGATTAAAAAATGAAAAAGTTTTGCTAATTGTTGTCTAACCTAAGAATAAGATTAAAAGTGTCGAAACCGATTAAGATCAAGTTTTTTACGATTAGCTGATTTTATGAATTAATTGCCATTATTATCTTTCAATGTCTTCTTACTATTTCAAGCACCAAATAATCAATGAAGTTTCAATTTCAAACCAAAATTTTTGTCAACTGTTAATCTTTATTTCCAAATTTCAAATCTGTAAACTTGTACAATTAATTTGCATAGTTTATTGTTACAATATAAATATTATCTTCTGTATTATCAATCTAATTGTTCAGTATTATTAAGACTTGAAAGATATTGATCACATTTATGAAGGATAGTTTTTCTTAATGCGATTGTATTGAGTAACGAATCAATTTGATTTTGATCCTCGAAATCAACTTGATCACGATAATTAATCGCTTCACAAAATCTAGTATCTGAAAAGCATCGAGTTACAGCACAGCATTTCATTAAATTAACTGTTGCTTGGATTAAACTCCCAACATTGAAATTAATTGTTCCTGTTTGAGAAGCGGATCCATCGCGATTTCCAGTACCAATTGGGAGATCTTTTCCCGAATCAGATTTATGATTTGCTTGTAACAATTTACGAACAACAATTTGTTGAATTTGATCTTCATCAAGACCGATACTCAACAAATATGAACTTAATTGTTGAGCTTCCTCTAATTCGGATCCAGCAATTAAATATTCCCCATCGATACCTGATAAATAATTAGAAAATTAGTCAACACTTTCATTTTCACCGTTGATTACTTACAATTAATGAGGGTTAAAGTAATAGAAACAATTAAAACTGATTTGATTGCAAACATGATGACTTGACGTGAATAACCAGGAAAGACTTGCGAATGACAATTAAATCCCATTCAGTTAAATCATATTAAGTAACAGATTTGATTAGCAAATTATTCATCGTCATAACAATTAACAGTTGCTGTTAACCATATGAAAGATTATTATATAAATAATTAATTAATTAACAGATAGGTAAACAGTTATTAAGTGATTAGGGATATTTCATCAATTAGCATTGTACTTGTATAATTAACTTTGCAACTTTTGGATTCTCGAATCACATTCAATGTATTCACAGTAAGAACCTTAGAATTGCATATTAATGATCACAATTAACTACAGTTAATAGTGTAGCTGTTAATTGGTTATCATTTACCTACTATTGGTGCAGTAAAAACAAAACTATTATTTAAAACAAATGTTTCATGATTATATTAAGTATAATAATGAATCACTTTATCTGAATCAAGTACACAAATGTAAATGGCAATTGTTACAATTAATGATTTAGTAGCCTTGATTAGATAATTTCAATCACAGATATTCAACACTTATTAATTTACTGATTGTAAGTATGAGATTTTTACTTTTCATGTGAAAATGATTGATTGTTTAGTTGATAATTTTTGGGTATCATTAGGACGGATTGGAAAATGCTGCAATATTTTCAGCGCAATTAACTGACAATTGTTACGTTTTAAACAGTTAACTCGCGAGCAGATCTATGGACTGGTGTTTTTCTTGTATCACAAATACGACAAATATGAATTCGAAGCCAAAAAATATTAAGAAAATAAATATCTTTTCCTCGTTTTCTAAATTCAGTTTGGAAAAGACCTTTTCAAGATTCCAATATTACATAGATAAACTTAATTGTTCTGAGTTATAATCTAATTATTCATTTACTTTGTTATGAAACAATTCTTAACATAAATATATTTTTCATCCAAGATCAATTTAATTGATATTTTGTTACATTAATAATATGAGAATAGTTAATAATGAGAAACATTTACTCAATTGGCTCTTGAGCACATCTATGGGCTAATAGTTTTTTTGATTCAATTTGTTTTACTAGACGATTAATCTGATTGATATTGTCGAAATCAACTTGATCAGGATAATTAATCCATGGACAGACTCTGGTTACAGGAAAGCATCGATTCCTCCGCCCACAATTCAACAGATTAAATATTCCTTGAGCAAAATTACTTACACTGAAATTCATCGTTTCCGTTTGAGCAACTGGACCACTTCCACCATCAACTGAATATGCATATCCAAGTGATGGCTTTTTACCGGGTTTCGATTTACGATTTAATTGTAACAATTTATGAACGACAATTTTTTCAACCTGATCCTCTTTTAAACCGCTGGACAATAAATGGGCACTCATCGAACAGGCTTCATTTAATTGAGATCCAGCAATTAAATATTCCCCATTGATACCTAATAAACAAATAGAAAATTAGTCAAATTTTAGATTGTTGGGTAAACTTTTGTCACTTTGTGTTACTTACAATCAGTGAAAGTTAAAGTGATTAAAACTATTACCAAAACCGATTTGATTATCAACATGATGAATTATTCTTATTAATCTGATAACTAATATTTTTCAACAAAATTTCTGCTCTTATATGATGCCCATGATGATTATCGCATGATGAAACTAATCAACACTTGTTAGTTTATGTTAATAATTTGCATTAGAAACTTGAAAATCAATGAATTATAAGTTCAAACAATTAAATAAAAGGTGTTGTGTTTGATTTCTTCGTATTAAATTAATTGAGAATTATCATAGCTATTTCAAGAACAAAAAAGCAATGAAGTTTCAATTTCAAATCAACATGATATTCCGGTTGGTCTATTGAATTCAGTTCGTTTTACTTTCGCGATAACTTCCAGTCTTGTCTATGCTCTCGATTTACTCAAAAATTATGGACTGAGATCTTTTTACAACCAAGTAAAAGGTACTAGAACTGAAGAAAGTCCCAAAGGCGGAGGTCAAAAAGGTTTCAACTTGGGTAATATCTGAAAGAAAAAGAAGAAGCGAAGAAAAATACTGTTCTCCAAGAGATATTAGATGATTTGAAGAAGAAATTTGAACCTGATGGTAATGTTACTTTCAATGGTGAGCTCGAATGTGATACTGTCCATTCTGTACCTGGACATCCAAAGCTGGTCAAACTTCAAGAAATTGTACTGAATCATTTTGCCACCGAAGGATCTGATACAAAGGTTATGGTTTTCACCCAATTTCGTGCCAGTGTAGAAGAGATCACATCTCTGTTAAGGCAACATTCACAACTAAGACCAGTCCAGTTCGTGGGTCAAAGCAGCCCCAAGAAACGAGGTTTCTCTCAGAAACAACAATTGGAGGTACTAAGTCGTGTTTGTGAAATCAAATGTTTGCAATGAATGATATTTAAAAAAATAATTATTCAATTAAAAAAATCACGATAAAATAAATATCTTTTCCTCGTTTTCTAAATTCAGTTTGGAAAAGACCTTTTCAAGATTCCAATATTACATAGATAAACTTAATTGTTCTGAGTTATAATCTAATTATTCATTTACTTTGTTATGAAACAATTCTCAACATAAATATATTTTTCATCCAAGATCAATTTAATTGATATTTTTGTTACATTAATAATATGAGAATAGTTAATAATGAGAAATATTTACTAAATTGACTCTTGAGCACATCTATGGGCTAATAGTTTTTTTGATTCAATTTGTTTTACTAGACGATTAATCTGATTGATATTGTCGAAATCAACTTGATCAGGATAATTAATCCATGGACAGACTCTGGTTACAGGAAGGCATCGATTCATTCTAGCACAATTCAACAGATTTAATATTCCTTGGGCAAAATTACTTACACTGAAATTCATCGTTCCTGTTTGAGCAACTGGACCACTTCCACCACCAGCTAAATATGCATATCCAAGTGATGGCTTTTTACCGGGTTTTGATTTACGATTTAATTGTAACAATTTATGAACGACAATTTTTTCAACCTGATCCTCTTTTAAACCGCTGGACAATAAATGGGCACTCATCGAACAGGCTTCATTTAATTGAGATCCAGCAATTAAATATTCCCCATTGATACCTAATTAATAAATAGAAAATTAATCAAATTTTAGATTGTTGGGTAAACTTTTATTACTTTTGATTACTTACAATCAGTGAAAGTTAAAGTGATTAAAACTATTACCACAACCGATTTGATTATCAACATGATGACTTAGTCATGAACAACAATTGAATTATACAGATGACAATCCAAAGTCAATCATTTATACCTCAACTTAATTTTCCAATTGTTCGTCCCCATTAACTAATAACACTTGATTTTAATAATTATTGAAATTCACTGAATTAATTATTAGATAAATTATTCACCATTAAATTGAAACAATTTAGTCAGTTTTTATCAGAAAATTATCAGGTTTAGATGTTACAATCCAACGAGTAAAGTTACAAGATGATCAAGTCCATTTGTACTCGAATCTCACAACTTCAGACCATTATCATCAGCGAATCTGCACCATCAGTTGATTTGATTGTTCAATTGATTGTTAGTTATAAATTTATTGCAATTATCCAGTGACGACTTAATTTTTATTACAAGTAACAACCGAAGTCGAATGCTTCAAACATTACAAGCCACCCTAGTGGTCGCCAAAAGGCACCGAAATAATCGTTCAGTTTACAAAAAAGTTTCAAGTTACCACAAAAACTTTACCAACGAAAGAAAAAGTTTCAAGTTATTACGACGTAATTAGAGCCTCAGTTTTAAGAGTAACAAAAACAACTAATGTAACTGTTGAACTATCATAATTTTCTTATCAACTTGGTCTGTGTGATGCGATGAACAATAATAACACAAAATTTAAAATTTTATTTTAAATTCACAGGTAAAGTTAATTGAATTAAAATTTTGCAGGCACGAAAAAAGTTCAACCTAAGTATCATAATTAATCGTTGTCATTTAAAATTCACTTCACTAGATGGAAGCATAAAAGTCGATGGCTATTTAACACACTTTCATTTGGATCAATCAGATGATCGGAAAAAAGTATTGGCGGGATCACTTGTAACTAATTGTTTCTTTTGGTAATGTTAATACTTTTAACTTGTCGTGTGTTTTAATTAATTACAATTACATTTCATTCTTATAATCAGATTTACAATAATTAGCTGGTCATCAGTTTGACGTTGATAACTTAATGTTTTCTCCCCTTTTTCTCTTTCACTCTCATATGTGTTTCTTTGATCTTTTCTCTGTTTGTTTCCATGTAAATATTTCTTTCCATTTTGGATTCTAATTTGTTAATCATCTCAATCACTGATTGGTGGTTTAGAATATTTTGCTTTTTTTGTGTTTAACTTATATATATTCATATAAATATATATATAAACTCTCTTCTCTCTGTTATCATGACTGAGTTTATTGCTGATACCGAAGAGGAAGTTCGTGAAGGTTTAGCCTCTGGTAAAGTTGAAAAATTGGATGGTTTTGATTATCATGCTGGTCGTCATTGGATTTATCCAATTAACCGAGATATTCGTGATTATCAGTACAGTATTGTTCACCAGTCTTTATTCAACAATACACTTGTCGTATTACCAACTGGCCTTGGTAAGACTTTAATTGCCGCTGTTGTTATGTACAATCTATATCTTTGGTATCCAAGGTGTAAGATTGTCTTTATGGCTCCAACTCGACCTCTTGTTAAGCAACAAATGGAAGCATGTTTTGATATTGTTGGAATACCTCGAGAAGATATTGTTGAATTAACAGGTAATTTAAATACATTTATGTTCTTGTAAAATTTGTTTTCTTCAAATTCTAAATTGATTTTCTCATCTACACACAGGTCACACTTCACCATGTAAACGACAAGAAGAATGGCTAACCAAAAGATTGTTTTTCTTAACCCCTCAGGTTATGCAGAATGATTTATTTCTCAATGATTATTGTCCAGCTGAGCAAATTAAATGTATCGTTGTTGATGAGGCTCATAAAGCCACCGGTGGATATGCTTATACCCGAGTTATTGAAGAGGTTTACAAAAGGAATACTCAATTTAGGGTTCTCGCTTTATCGGCTACTCCAGGAAAAGATTTGGTTCACATTAAACAAGTTCTTAAAAATTTACTCATCTCAAAGATTGAATATCGTTCAGAGGAATCACTTGATGTTCAAAAGTATACACATAATCGTCGTGTTGAAACAATTGTCGTTCAATTAGACGAAGAGCTTACATATTATCGTGATCGTTTACTTTCAATTATTGAAGAAAATTTGAAAACTTTGGTTAAACGTAAAGCCATCGGAAGTTATGATCTAAATCGTTTATCATCATATTACCTGTTGATGCAAAAGAAAACCTATGAGGCTGGTCAACATGATATTCCAGTTGGTCTATTGAATTCAGTTCGTTTCACTTTCGCAATAACTTCCAGTCTTGTCTATGCTCTCGATTTACTTAAAAATTATGGACTGAGATCTTTTTACAACCATGTAAAAGGTACTAGAACTGAAGAAAGTCCCAAAGGCGGAGGTAAAAAAGGTTTCAATTTAGGTAATATCTTGAAGAAAAATACTGTTCTCCAAGAGATATTAGATGATTTGAAGAAGAAATTTGAACCTGATGGTAATGTTACTTTCAATGGTGAGCTCGAATGTGATACTGTCCATTCTGTACCTGGACATCCAAAGCTGGTCAAACTTCAAGAAATTGTACTGAATCATTTTGCCACCGAAGGATCTGATACAAAGGTTATGGTTTTCACCCAATTCCGTGCTAGTGTAGAAGAGATCACATCTCTGTTGAGGCAACATTCACAACTAAGACCAGTCCAGTTCGTGGGTCAAAGCAGCGCCAAGAAACGAGGTTTCTCTCAGAAACAACAATTGGAGGTACTAAGTCGTTTTCGCGAAGGTGAATACAATATATTAGTCGCTACTTGTGTAGCCGAGGAAGGACTTGACATCGGTAATGTGGATCTTATCATTTGCTATGATGCAAATAAATCACCTATTCGTTTGGTCCAACGTATGGGTCGAACTGGAAGAGCTCGTGAAGGTAAAATAATAGTTCTCACTACAGCGGGTAAAGAAGAGGGAGCTCATAATGACAGTATTTATAATAGAAAACGAGTAGCAACCAATTTACTCAGTGGAATAAAACAAGAAGATCTTTTCAAAGAAAATGTTAGACTTTATCCTAAGGGACTTAAACCAATTTGTCGCAAATTATACCTTGGGGTGAGACAAGAAAAAGATAAAGGAAGCGATGATAATGATCGAAGCCTGGACGAAACGGAAGAGACGGAAAACACCAACATAAATACAGCGTCACCAGTGAAAGAAAAAAGTACAAGTTGCACCAAAAAACGTCTCAGCTCAACGAAAGAAAGTACAACCAAAAAAAGAAACTCTGCAGTCAAAAGATCATCTTCCGGTGGAAGTACAGCTAAAAAACGTAAAAATCGATTCATATTTCAAACTGATGAAGAGATAGATGAAAATCAAGAAAAAGAACAAGAAAAAGACCAAATTAAAGATCCAGTAGAAGACCAAGAGAAAGTTGTAGATGAGGAAGGAGATAAAGACAAAGATAAACATGGAGATGAAAACGATGAAGAAAACGGCTTAGAAATGATGGATATAATGGGAATAATAAATGATAATGATGATGAAGATGATAAGGATGATAAGGATGATGATAAGTCGGAAAAAGAGGAGAAAAATTCATATGAACAAGAAGATGAAGACGAAGATGAACCGATTCCATGTAAGAAAAGTAAATGGTCAGAATATATCTCTGACGATTCGCTCGATTATCCCGTTTCATTCAACTAGATTATCTGAATCTAACAAATCGTAAATTGTTGATAACAGTCAACAAAATGTTGTCAAAAGTGTAAAATACAATTAATTCGTATCATCATCATGTTAATTTTTCTTGATTGTCAATATTTATTACAAATTTTCAAATTAAAACTCATTAAATAAAAAAAAATTCAATTCTCTTGATAATTTAATGTAATAAATTGTTCATTTTTCCATCATTGTTACAAGTTGTTAATCAATTGATTTCTTTGCGTTCTAATGACAATTTTCATTTATAACTTGAATGAGCAACAATCAATTCATCATCATTAAATTGTTTCTAAATCAAAGTGAGAAATAAATTTCAATCATAATAATCAATAAATTACTTCAAGATCAAATCAGTGAGCCTAAACTTTTACTTGAACTCTAATTGTTTGATTAACGAGTTAATAACAATGTTAATATTAAAAACTAATTTGATTTGGATAATTACTTAGATTAAATTGTTGAGATCGATTCTAATTGTATCTAAGATGATTATCCAAGGAAAGAAGTGATTTTTTTAGGTTTGATTGACGACTAATTGTAATTCTTACTAAGTTAATTAGCAGGATGTTTTTATTATCAATTAAATGATGAAACCAACTAGTTGAATGAAATAACATTTAATTTACTAACCAATGGATAAACATGTGAAAACATTAATCATAATTACTTTTGATTGTTTTTGTTTACATGAAGCAACTAACGATTAGGTTAATATGAACAGTAATCGGATATTAATGAGATAATTTTATGGATTTCCGGTTAATTAACAATTGTAATAATCGTGGGAATTTAATTACTTAATTACTTGATTAGGAAGAAAACTTTTCCACAAATTAATGTGCAAATAAACAATTGATTGAATTGAAAAGTGAAACATATGATTTTTACAGGTAAATGAATTTTATTTTTCGCAATTAATGATGAAAGAGTTTAATGTAGTCAAAGTAAATAGGAATTTGAATGTTGGGCAAAACTTTAATCAATAAGTGAAGATGAAAATGAAGTAGACAAAACAAAGAGAAGAAAAGAAAGAGAAGAGAAGAAGAAAGAAAGAGAGAAAGAGAGAGAGAGGATAAAAGAGTTGACAGAATTGACAAAATTGACAATATCAAGTTAGAATGGGCGAGTGTTTAGAAAAAAAAATTCATCCACATTCAGTTAACTAGTTTTCACCTTATAATTAATATTCATTATTGTTATTATTCATCACAATTAGAAGGTATCCAAAAGTGCATCATGGTGCAGGCGGAAGCGAGCATCATATATTTGGGATTAAATTGAACACATTGGACTGTTGATGTGTGTTCACCTTGAAAGGTTGTTACTTTGTTTCCATTAGATGCATTCCAAACGTGAATTTTACCATCAGTTGAACCACTGAAGATAAATTGGGAATCAGGTGAGAAAGATGCTTCCAGTGGTAAATTTTTAGCATTCACATGACCCATGAGAGTTTGTAAGGGTGTACCTTGGAAAGCGTCAATAAGATGGATAACATTACCATTGGTACTAATCATAATCATTTTACCATCAGGTGAAAATTTGAGACCAGTCCAGTCACATAATTTATCTTGTTGTAATTTAAAGGTATTAAAAGGTCCTTTGTCAAAAGATTTGAGATCATAAAGTTTAACTGATTCACTGTTTATTCCAACTGCAAAGATTAATCCTTCCGGGTCAAAATTGGCCACAGGTCGTCCCATAAGATGCATTAAACCTTGACAATTGGGTGATCTTAAATCCCATAGACGAATTGTCTTGTCCAGAGATCCACTTAGAAAGGTATCGTCAACGGGAGACATACATAATGTGACCACTTTTTTGGTGTGTCCGGGAAAATAACGGATATATTTATTGTCCGGTAAAGAAAGATACCTTATATGGATAAAAAAAACCAAGCAAAAAAAAAGCAAATTTAAATGAGTGAGAAAAATGTGATAGAGAAAATATTTTTGAAAGCTTTGTTATGAATTGTGAAAAAGTATAACTAATCAAAGGTGTAAACAAATTACTATGAGAATAGATAGAGATAGAGAAGAGGATAAAGAGAGAGAGAGAGAAAAAATTGAATAGTAAATGAACTTTACCTAATGGTATCATCTATTTTATTGCTTGAATGAATGGCAGTATTAGCTGCATGTGTATAATGAACCAAATCAACACCGTACTTTTTACTGTTTAATGTTTTCTTTGTGGTTCCTTTTTCACAATCATAAATAACTATGGAATCATCATCAGATGAGGTAATAAGAGTTTCACCATTTGCTGAGAAATCAATTGAGTTAATCCTTTCAGTGTTTTCCTTGAATACTTTGGCAACTCTAAAATTGGTTACCACAGATTCAACCAGCTTCATCTGGAGAGAGAGCAGAGAATAGAGAAGATAATTTAAATTTCCAAATTCTAATCCAAAAGGTTGAGGTTAAAGTGAAAGTCAATAAAGATACCAATTGATAGCGCGATGAAACTTGAAACAAAATAATAATTCAAAACAAGATGGAAGTAAATTAAAGTTAATCAAGTTTCAACGAATTGGAATTAAAAACAAAAAGATTTTTAGATTTTTTTTTATTTCTTTTTCCATTCAAAACAAAACCAAAATGAGAAAAAAAAAGAATACAACATGAGCGCCATCTATCAATTCTAATTGGAACTTTTCATTTTCGATAAATAATCCAACCGGTAGATGTCGTTTTCTCTCTTGTGAATGTTTGTTGATGAGAAAATTTTATCTCCATTTGATTAATTGGGTTTAGAAAATTATTCTCATTTTCTATTAAAAGAAATCTAAATTTATTTCTTTTTTTTCAACTAATTATAATGTCCGAATCTAAACAGAAACTTAGTGATTTAGTTAACAAAGAAAATGGAGATGGACAATTAGGTAGTTTTAATGAGACAAGTAATGAAATGCTAATGGATGGTGAACATAATTCAACAATGTCTCAACAATCCAATGATAATCCAGATGACCCGGTAAGTGTTTCTAATTTAATTTCTTTCGCAATTGTTTTCCAGTGATTTAGATTTCTTTAGATTATTCCATATTCTCTGTTAAATTGTTCACCGACTGATTGTTACTCTTTCCAAGAAAAACAAAAAATGTTCTCTTTTAAGAATCAACAAATTCTTCTCTACGGAGAGTTTAGTGTGTTGGCTCTCTTATTGTTTCTCTTTTATGTGATCTGTTTTTTTTCTTCTCTTTTTCTATTCTTTTTTTTCTATGTTGTATTTTTTTTTCATTCTACTTCAATGTTTTCTCATTTTCACGATTATTTCGTCACTATATTTATACTATTGTTATTGTTTCTTGACTGTTACAGGATTTGGAAGAGATCAAAGCACGAGTTAGAGAAATGGAGGAAGAGGCTGAAAAGTTGAAACAAATGCAAGATGAGGCTGAGAAACAAATGAATTTGAGTTCATCAAGTGAGTTTTCATTTTCCATTCTCGGTTTACTCCTCTTTATTGAAGCAAAAATTGAAATTGATTCGATTATTCAATAAGTTGCCTCATTTTTTAAACTCTAAAACCGCTAATCCGCGTTTTTTTCCTCTATTTTGTAGGTACTGCAGGTTTATCTCCAGAAGAGAAAAGAGAAGTCGATGCCCGATCCATTTATGTTGGTAATGTAAGTATCTGTTTAATTTTCTATATTAGACTAAATCGTCATTAGCAGGGAAATTCAATCATAAACTGATTAACTTGATTTAATCTATTTGATTCTCTTAAAAATCTTTTCTTTCAAACTCATTATTTACATCGATAGTGATCACATGTTAGCTTCCATTTATGTTGCAATACAATAATCTAAATAATTCATTTTCTATTACTTTTTCAGGTTGATTATTCAGCTACTGCAGATGACTTGGAGCGCCATTTCCATGGCTGTGGGTCAATAAATCGTGTTACCATTTTATGTGACAAATTTAGTGGACATCCTAAAGGGTTAGTTGTCTTTCGAATATAAAAAATCATTATTTTGTTTTTAAATCCTTTAATGTATTTAACAAATTAATTGATTTAACTTTTTTTTCTCTTTCTCTCTTTTACCCTCTAGCTTTGCTTATATAGAGTTTGCCGAAAAAGATTCTGTCCAAACAGCAATGGCCCTTGACGATTCACTTTTCAAGGGAAGACAGATTAAGGTTAATCAAAAAAGGACCAACACTCCAGGACTTAGCGTAACTGCGAGACCTGCTCGAGGAGGAATGAGAGCTTCTCGTAGAGGATTTGCTGGTAGAGCTGCCTCGTGGGGATTCAGACCTGCAAGAAGGCCGTAAGTGTGAGCTGCAAGTGACTCGATTCCGTGAACCTGATTGATTTATCATCTTAATCTATAATTTACTAAATTATCTATCATCTTCCATTTTTCTATCCACAGGCGCCGAGGATGGTATTATAGTCCTTACTAGACTAGAAAATTTGTTATAATTCAATTCAAATTAAAACCCATCGCCGCGACTTTGTCTCTTTTCTCACGCTTATGTGCATTTGACGCACACTACACATATAAACAAAACACAATCGCATCCACAGTATGATTTACCAGCAGCTACGCAGCAAAAAAAAAACACGTACCATAAGATCAGTTGGACAATTAAAACATCAAACTTACCGGAAACAAAATTTACTACTACTTTGCGAAAACCAAAGTACCAATCTATCGGAATTTACGCTATTTATATTCCTTATATACATATATCTCTATCTCTTTTTCGCCACAACAATTAACTCAACAATTCATCTTCTTTCTTCGAAACTCTGTATTCCAATCATGTGATTGGTTTATTTTCATTTCTTTTTCTTTTCTCATCTGAAAAAAAACAACAATCTTCCTATTTCCACACTTCCCACCACCAAAAATCTTTTGCCTGTCAAATTTCTTATTCCAATCTCATCCCTTTCTCCTCCTTCGTCTCCTATACACCTTAAAACTTTCTCCTAGTAAATCCAAACGCTATTCAAAATTTCAATCCTCTTTAAACACCAAAATTTGTCACAATCAATGTTGACTTATCAAGAAAAAAACAAAAACAACAACAACAAAGACAAGAGATTAACTAAAAACAGATCGACTTTGATAAACGAAACAGAAAATTAAAAAAAGAAAAAAAAATGATAGCTGAAAAAAGACATTTAAAAAATCAAAGCTAATAAAAAAGAATAAAAAAAAATCAATACAAACGTTTGAATAAAACCATTTGGAAATTAATTGTAATACTCAATTAATTATCATTCCCATTAATCATTGGTAGTTTTCATTTTTCTTTCTCGTTGATTGTAACGGTTCTTTATTTATTATACATGAATTTTGATGAGATTTGGCGCCATTAAAGTGAATGAAACAAGTTGACCTTGAATTTATCCAGAACAAGAAACAGGCGGGATTAGAGGTTGCAAAGTTATGGTTCCCTCAATCATTTGAATGTTTTAATCAATTGTTGTGAACAAGAGAGGTAGAGTGAGAGACAGAGAGCGAGGGAGGGAAAGGGTAATTTAAAAAATTAAATTTATTTAAAAAGTCATTCCTTCTAATTTGGCTTGGATATCTCTAAATTGGCTGATCAATTGTGATACTTGAGGATCCGTGAGATTGTTTGATTGAAGTTCTATAACGTATTCTGCAATTAAGTCCAAACATTTAGCAGTAAATTGTCGCCTAAATGGAAAAGGAAAAGTTTCGATTATCAATTACAATGAATGATCAGAAAATTGAGAATTGTAAATAAACTAACCTTTCAGTTAAAGAAATTAGAAGAGGACTTTCACAGAATTTAGAGAAAAGCCAATGGGAGACTTCCAGGAGTTGGATTGATTTCTTATACCAAGAGATTGTTGGGTCTCTTGATTGATACAATCTATGATAAATGTCAACTAATTGTGAGAAACCAATTCCGCAGGTTAATAGAGATGCGGCAAGCCAACTTCTTTCAAATTCCATGGGTTGAGTTATATTTTCCAAATATTGAATTATAAATTCTGCAAATAAAATTAAAAATTTGGATCATGAAATCATTCAAATGATGATTGATTGTTTGGAGATTCGTTAACAATTAGCAAACTTACCTAATGGGAAATATCTATCACTGGGCATATACAATTTAGCTAAATGTTGTAATTTGTTAACAAGAAGAGTCTTTTTAACGGAAATTGGTCTATTAGAGGAATCGGTCAGCTCTTTGTCAAATATACGTTTCCAAAGAGATCTAATTAACTCGGGATCGTTGAATGAGGCAGCACAAACAATTGCTAATTGACATTCGGGAAGGTCAAACTTTTCCGCATAATCTTCATACAACATGGTGATGTCCAAAAGTCCTTCATTAAGTTTCTTGATGGCATCTTTAACAGCTACTGATGATGAACAATCTGCTCGTTGGGATAAACTTTCCACAATTTGTAATTGTAATCGAGCAACTTCCATCTTTTCCTCTAAATCGTGCAACAATTCACCACTTGATTTAAAATCTTTTTCATCGGTAAGTACAAAACTGGGATGACTTTGACAGCTTTTCATACAAATGATAGCTCGAGATAAATATTCTAATCTCTTGAGTAAATCAGATTCTGATCCATGACGATCAGCTAATTTATCAAGAATCGAGGCAGCAGCTCGAAAGTTACCATTTCGCTCATAGTACATCCAAAGTAAATCCATAAGTTGAGTTGTCTCTCCAAAATGAGCTGCTTTAGTTTTAAGATAACTTTCCAGGTAAGGTGATTGAATTTCTAACAATTTGTCAACCTGTTGATGTTCATATAGCCATTCATAGATGGTTACATGAGCGGGCTCATCTTCCGAGGCAATTGCTGCTTTGAGAACTGCTTTACTATAATTAAGAGCTTCTTCTTTGGTTAAAGGTGGTATATAGTCTTCAACGTTGTTCCGAGATGAGGTTGGTTGAGCAACGGCACTCATTGGATGTTCAACAAGCAAGAGAAGATGCTCATAAGTGTCCAAGATAATTCGATAACACTCCAATCTGGACTGAATGGTTGACATTTGTTTTTCATCACCAATGAATTTGTTATCATATGAGAAGAATGAACGATTTTGAAATTGTTGGAAAACATTGGCATTGTTTCTCAATAAATAAATGCCAATGTTTTCCTTGTCTCGAAGTGAAGCTGTTTCGAGACAAAGAGTCACTATATCAACATAGGCATGGACGGTTTTTAATAGATCACAGGCTTGTCTTAAGTTGGTTCGAGCTCAATCGACTTGAAAGTGGCCAGTGCTTCGTCAATCAACTTGAATCGTTCAGTTTCATCCTTGGTTCGACGAGCTTTGATCAGTGTTTCGTGTGCTTTTGCTTGGAGAGCATTTTCTTCCCTAAAGATTGCAGGGCAGGCATCATTTAGTCGTTTACTGATTCCTTCCGTGGTCACAGAATCATCGATGTACTTTTGAACCAAAGCGGAAGCCAAATGAGCACAAATCTCTTCACCTTCATTGATTAAAGTTCGGAAGGTTGATCCTTTTAGTTTAGCGATTATTTCAGAAGATAAATTTTTAACAACTGTTGGAAATTTGTGTTCATATGCTATACGAAGTAGGCCAATAGTTTCAAGGCATCTTTTGATTAATGTTAACATGTTGAAGAAAGAAGCTCGTTCAAGAATTGGATTTACTTGAGTGGGACTTGAAAAGGTAACAGTAGTCGACTCAGAGTAATGAGGCATCTCGTTATCAGGAATATCAGAGAATTGAATATTTTTCATCAAAAATTGTCTCAAATTGTTCAATTTTTCCAAGTAAATCTTCATCTCAACATCGGTTATGGTTGTAGTGATGTTTTCCTTTAGACCGTCTTTAGGTGGTGGAGTAATTAATTCAGATTTCACACAATTAGCATTCCAAATGGGTCTAATGATTCGAGCTACATAAAGATAAAGTCCAATAAGTTTGTTGGACATTCCATATTGAACATGTTGAACTGGGGAAGTATTTAATCCAGGTTGACCGGCGATCATTGTTTCATTGAAGGGATGACCAGTCCCATAAAGACCTGATTGATTATTAATGAATGAATTACGATTTTGAAGGGTAACATTTGAAGGTGAAAATTGCATTTGCTCTGAATGTGGTGTAGATTGAATGACCGATGCTGATCGGACAATTGGTGATGAAGGGATTGCTCGAAGGGAGATGAGTATCGAGGTGTAGAGGAAATTGGTGTTGAAATTTGACCACCAGCTAAATTAGCAATGTGTGGAGTAAACTGTTGGCTTATGGAATGTGATGGAGTTCCAGTTGATTGTATCACTTGTTGTTGTTGTTGCTGGGATTGTGGAGCTGCTGTTGGAGCGGTTAAAACTTGAGGATCACCACCGTAGCGGAAGAAAGCTAGAGTAGCCCATTCAGCGACCTGCTTTTCAACGGGAGATGTTGTTTGACAAGCGATAGCCAAAGTCATACAGCAACTTTGAGCTTCCCCATAGAGACGGAAGAAACCTTTAACAGCTTCATTCTCGAACCCTTGATTGTCTACAAGTAACTGTTTCAAATGATCAACTGGTCGAGGTCGATGAGCAATATGAACACCTTGGGATGAAAGGAAGATAAATTTTCTTTGCTCTTCTACATCTTGAGTAATCATTACAGGAGGTTCAAGGTTGATTACTTTGTTAATTCCTACATTAATTGGGATAGATTTTTTTATCAAATGAGGTTTAATTTCCTCTCTCATTCTCCAAACTCGACTACTGATTGGATGAACACTAAACAATTCCATGAGTTGATTATCGAAAGCAAATGCGTCCGATGAAAGAGTCCAGAGAAGCGCTCGACCATCACCAGTAATGGAGACCATGATAGTGGTACTTCGTGAGTAAGAGGCCAGATAAATGTTAGCGGGACGTTGGGGAGGTGAAGCTGCAGAGTAACCAGGAGGCAGCCGAATGTGAACAATATTTAAAGAATCGGGTCTCTGGTCGTATTTAGGTGTATGATTGGTAGAAAAATATATTCGAATACCGGTTTCAGTGAAACCAATAAGATTGACGAAAGTTGATTCACTTTCAGAAACAGCACAAATTTGACTTATGGTACGAAAATTTTCCGCCTCAATGTTACGAGCCAATGAAGATGCTTGTGAACTAATAGCATGAGCACTTTTTGAGGCAACTTTAGCCATGTCTTTACCATCATAGCCTAAATCATAAACTTCAATTGTTCCTTTTTCTGACCGGGTGAAAAGGATATGACGACTATTGTCAATTTCAATTTGAACAATTGGATCTTTGTCATAAAATGAAAGTAAATTGGGAACCAGGAAAGAGAGAGATGAACTTGAATGATTAATTTTCCAACTTTTCTTTCGGAACCAAGTTTCATGGGCCTGATAAACCGCTTCATATAAAGATCCATCTTTACCACCCAAAAATATTCTTCCATCATTAGTACCCTGAATGATGGGCATTGCAGTGTTATCGGTAGCAATGTTGAATAAAGGTTCATTATCTACATGAAGATCGTCAATCATTTCGGATCCACTTTCACGATATTGAATTCCAAGAAGAACGATCTCAACGAGGGTAGTTAGACAAAGAACATATTTAATATTGTCTTTGAAAATACCTGCAATTTGAACCAAGGAAGAGACAAATAAACATGAGATAAGAAAGTGAAGAGACTAAACAAAAATGAAATCAACATTTACCTGGTTTGGGCTTGAGAAGGGCAACTCCAATGATCACCTCGGTTAGACCATCATAATAGGCCATGTCACAGCCATTATCATAAGACCAAAGGTAAATCGTACTATCAACTGCTAACCAGGCTCTTTTAATCTCGGTAAAAATTCCCATTTCACAATTTTGTTGAACATCTAGAGTAGAGACGGAGAGAGAAAGAAAGAAAAAGAAAAAAACAATTTTAAGCCTTGAACATCCAAAAGCACATGCATGATAAGATCTCACATGAAAATCAAATGTGTTGGAAAAGACTTACGGTTAAATTGCTCTAAAATTCCTGATGGTAAAGGTATTGTAGTAATTTTATCTAATTGAGTTAAACTTCCAAGAGCTGAGGCAAGATCACTTATATTTGGATAATCTGTATCCTGAAGGCCACTTAAAGTTGGATAACCTGAGAAAGAAAATCAAAAATATATAAATAGATGAAGCAAAGGAAAAGAAAAAGATTCAGTAACCAAAAAGATCACATGTAGAAATGGTGAATTAATAAAAAAGAGAAAACTATTTAGAGGTTTAACTTAAATCTTACCGGTTGAGGCCTTAATGGCATCATGAATTTGAAGGAAATTGGCATCAGTGGCAAGATATTTGTCAATTAATTGGGCAGGTAATTCTTGAGGTACAATGACTTGATTAGGTGGTGATCGAGCAACATAAGTTTGATGTTGTCCAGTAGGAGATCCTGTTAGTGAACGATTAAGAGCTGATTGTCCACCAGCCCAAGGGCTGGATGAAGTGTCCATATCCATGATTAATATAGAATAAAACCAATGGAAATTCTAAAAAAATGAGAAAAATTTACACCAATATGGAGAACAAAAAAGGAGAGAGAAAAAGGAAAAAAAAATTCTCCAACAATGGTTACCAACAAGGTAGAGAAAACGGTTAACAGGCAAAGAGCAACAACTCCTGTAGATGAAGATAAGAGATAATGATGACAAATGTGAGAAGGACAATTAGAATTAAACACAATCAACAATAAAGAAATTAAACTGTGAGCATGATTAATCCAATAGATTAAAGCTTACCTAAAGCCCGCTTCTTCTTGATTAAAGCGACTCACACAATTTGAAAAGAGAATAGAAAAAGAGAAAAAAAAGAAAGAGAAAAGAAAGAGACACAATGTGGTTTGAGAGAGAAAAAAAAGAAAATGAGGATTGGTTAATTTTCCATTTGGATCATATAAGCAAATTAAACATTTCAAATAATTGGAAAATTTTAATCAACAATCGCAATTAATTTAAAGATGGAAAACAATCAGATTAAAAAGATCAATTGTTCAATCAATTTGGAGTAATTAAAGTTAATTAAATAGAAAGAGTAACAACAAATGGGAAAATCAAATCGGTTTCCTATTTTGTAACCAACAGAAAACCGCTGATTACATTTTAGTCTAATTGTCACACTTTATCTTTCGTCGCCTTAGTGATTAGGATAATTTAGTTTTCTTGTAATTGCAATTGAGTTAATTGTTGTAGTAACATTTTCGATAATTTTGGTCAGATTTACAATCAGCTAAATGATATTTTTACAAATTTGATTCCAGTTTTTGTTGTCCTTAATCAACTTCTCTTCCACCAATTTTTGATCTAATTATAAAATCCTCTCCATCTTTTAATTGTTTCTCCGCTTTAATTGCTAATTTTTTTAATTCTTTCATCTCTCTGCCCTCTAGGATTAATCGAATGGTTGATCGGATAACATTTTTCGTCGTCTTCAGGTTACTTTCTTTAATAAACTTTTCAGTTAACCAATCTAATGAGAAGTGATTACCACGCTTAGCATTGTAGGCAGCAATTGGACTTGAATCAACAACAATTAAACATTTCTCAGTGATTAATTGTTCATTTTGAACTAACCACCAACCATGTTCCTTGACGATCTCTCTAGCAGGTCGTTTATCTCCATTAACGGCTAAATTAATTATATCTTGAACAATATTCATGGTGATAACTCCTTTTTCCGCTAAATCAAATGTATCTAAAATAAATTGTCCAGTTATGGTTGTTTCTTCAATTTTAACTCGATTGTCATTAAGTATGGCAGCTAATTCTCTGGCAATAAAGGTACCAATCATTGCAGTTGTATAAACAGGATTAAGATTCATGGTTGAAACATAGAATGGAAATAAATTATTTTCCACAATTAAATGTGATGTTTCAATACTCAATTTGTAGTCATTAATCAAAATATCTCGTTCCTTTTCCGGTAAACTTGGTATCGTCTTTTCAATTGCGACTATGGAGATTACTTGATCATTATCATCATTGGTATCACTTTGATTAGTCTCTTTGGTCAATTTTAATGGAGGTAAATTGGGCTCAGGCAAATAACGGTAATCTTCAACATTATCTTTATCTCTCATCGGGAAGGTCTTTTTCCGAACTGGATCATAGAATCGCGTCTCACTTGGTACTAAGAGACCTTTTTTTAAACTTTCCAAATGTCTCATGATTTCAAATTCTAATCCTTTGGTTAAACTTTGAAGAGAATTAAGATTTTTCAATTCAATTCGATTACCGGGAGGTCCATTTACCGGAGAGACTGATACGTTGGCATCAATACGAAGAGCTCCTTCCTCCATTTTACAACTACAAGTGTCAATCCTAAAATTATTTATAAAAAAAAACAAATTGTCATTAAAAATACTAAACAATTTAGTTGGAATCAAACTAACCTTTTCAATATATTAATCAGCTCTTTGACCAGATAATAAGCTTCTAAATGGTTATACAATTCAGGTTCAAATACAAATTCCATCAGTCCAACACCACAGCGATTAAGATCAATATAAACAGCACCACTTTTAATATCTTTCAAAGTTTTACCAGTGTCTTGTTCAAGTTGAATTTGTTTCAATGATACTCGTTTTATTTCAATGTCTCGAGTTTTAGTTTTTGGTACTACAAAACTAATGGCACCACCGGTAGCAATGGGTTCACATTTTTGGGTAATCTGATAACCATTTGGAGAATCGGGGTAAAAGTAATGTTTCCTGTCAAAGAAACACTTCTCATTTATTGAGCAATTTAAAGCCAGGCCACTTTTAACAGTAGCCTCAACACAATAACGATTTATAATGGGAAGAGTACCAGGAATAGAAGCATCAAAAAGTGACACACCAGAATTAGGCGGATTGTTATAATCATTACAACTTCTGGAAAATAATTTAGATGTAGCATTGATTTGAGCATGAACTTCTAGGCCAATTTTAGTAATGAAATCATCGCCAAAAGTTAAGGTTGATCGTTTTCTAAAAGAAAAAATAATCAGAAAAACAATAACAATAAAAAAAATCACAAAACATCAACTAAAGAAAAAGATAAACAAAAGTAAACAAAACCTGTACTCACCTTAAACATTGTCGATAATGATTAGGAAGTAATTTACCAATTATACTCAAATTATTTCTCGTAAAAGACATTTGTCCGAATTCATGACATAATCAGAAATCCAAAAATATCACCAAAATTAGGAAAACAAAAATGTTTAGAGAAAATTTTCAAATAACATGTGTTTCCATTGAGAAAAGAAAACCGGTTCATTTGAAATGGATAAAATTCCAACTTGAACCAAATCAATTGCAATCGAACTCATCAAATGGACGATAAACCTTTAAAGCAAATAGAATAAAACAATTAGAAAATTATTAATCCAATCGAAATGCACATGAATTCATAAGCGAAGTCAAATGGGCTCAACGAATCTCACAAGAAGCAAAGGGAAGAGAAAAAACCTCCGAAAGAAACTGATTGAGCACAGAGTTTTTTTCTTCCAATAACAAAGTTGAGGACTTTTTTTCGTTGCAAAGGTGACACGAGACACAAAATTCGTGGTTGATACTTACGATATGACGGGTTCGATGTTGACAGATTTACACAATCCGATATGAAAGCTTTTACTGGTGACAAACAAAGGGGTTTCTCTCTGGAAACTCTAGATGGTATTGGAGTATATAAATTAGTCTATCATCATATTCATTCAATTCTTTATCTTCCAAAGAAAACAAAGTGTTTCTATCTCTCTATCTCTCTTTCTCCTTCTCTTTATAACAAATGAGATGAAAATCGATCGATATATACAGTGTGTATTCGGTTTAATACATATCTATGTTATTAGACGAAACTAGATGAACAAGAAACTAAGAGATTTCTCCTGAAGAAACAGATTTTGCTCAAACAAACCAGAAATTCTGAGTGAGAAAAAAAGAGAGAAAACAAAATTCTGATCATCTCATACTCTCATAGTATTTGATGATAACACATACACAGAGATAGAAGAGAGAAAGAAACTTATTCAGAGGAACAGTAGATAGAATTGAAACTTACTTACCAGTGATTCTTTCACCAAAAAGAAAAACTTATTTCTACAAAATAGAAAAGAAAAATAAAAAATTCTCTTCAAAAGAAAAGAAATAATTTCTTTTAGTAAACAATAAACAATGTTAGAGAATTTAAGAGAATAGAAGAAAAAAAAAATTCTCTTCATTTTCATTGGATGTTGAATATCGGATATTAACTAACCGATACAAAAGAAAAATTAAAAAACCAATCAACTGATTTGTCTCTTTCTCTTTTCTAAATGAATCATCTTTAAATCATTTCTTTCATTTAATTAACCATTTTAATTGTTTCTCCATCAATTCAATCAGTTGAAATGAATTAAAATTCTAATCATTTCCTTTATATTTCCAATCGTACTTAAAGTGATCTCCAAATAACAAAGTCTTCACCTCTTCCCTTACTTATTCATTTAAATGTGTGTGTGTGTTTGTTTGGTCAACAATCAATTCAATTAATTTAATTGTCATAATTGTGCTTTAATTGTCTACAGAAATTTAATTGTTTTGTGTGTGTGTCACAAGATTCAAACAGGCTAATTGTCTTTAAGTTGTTCAATTGTAATCCAAATTTACAATAATTAATTGATTTGTGTTTTCTACGATTTTCTTTACTTTTGCCTTTGAAGAATTTCCAATTCACCTCCATTTTGTTTTCTTTTTTAATTTTCCTTTTATCTTGATACTTCTTGTGTTTCTTAATGTTTTGTAATATAATTTTAACAACATTGACATGAGACAATTAAATTGTGTTTACCAACAACATCACTGTCACCATAATGCAGAAAATAAATCATCGGCCTACAGTTAATTGTAATAATCAATGGATAATCTTTTGTTCAATGTGTCATTCTAATAGTAATAAACAAAGACCAATTATCAATGGATTAAAAGTTAATAGTAGTAACAATAATAATAATAATAGTCTATGTGAAAATCGGGTTTACCGGTATTCACATTATTCTTATTCTCCACCTTTACCTCATCACCATCACTATTCATCATTATTATCATCATTAACTCAACCATCATCCAATGTTTCCATTATATTTCAACTATTATTGTTGATTCTTTCCATACCATGGATTAATTGTGACTCTCTAAACAACAACAACAACACCAACATTAATAAAACCAACAATATAATTCATCATCACCTTCACCATCAACATAACCATCACCATCACCATAATAAACACCATCTTGTTGATGATCATCAACCTCCTTCTGATTTTGATTATTCTCAACAATCATCATCATCATTTCCTCGTATAATTAATCGTCGTCAATCAACTAAACAAGGTTGTCCCAATAAATGTGAATGTATTTGGAGAGGTGGTAAATATGAGGTTGATTGTAAAGGATTAACTTACTCCAAAATACCCAAAGAGATTCACAGTGATACTCAAGTGATTAATTTTAATGGTAACCGAATTAAAACATTGGAACCAAAAATTTTCCAAACCTATGGTCTAATTAATTTACAGAAAATTTATCTCTCAAAGTAAGTGATTCAAACAATTATCCAATATTATTCAATCTATTTCGTTCAATTTATTACTATTATCGTTTTGAGTAACAATTACAAACTGATCAAATTATTGAACAACTTTTAGATTCATTGTTACTACTGTTACCTAACATGAGATATAATCATTGATCATGTGTCACTTAATTATGAATTCATTTATTACCCTTAATCAATTGAATTAAGTGTTCCTGTTTTCTAATACTTTTTTCATGTAAATGTTTTCACACTGATCAGCCATTGATCACATTATTATCTTCATCATTGATTATTATTTTCATTAACAGTTTAACCAACTGTAATGTAATTAAATTAAACTGTTGATTTAATGATTTCCTGTAAGAAAAAACTAGGAGTCAATGTAAAATATAATTGACCCACCATAATAATAATAATGATCATCATCATTATATTGTTGACATTTCACAATATAAACTAATTACTTTCATTGATTTTCATTAATGGTTATGTCGTTGTTATTATTGTTGTTATCACTTTAATATAATGTTAAATACAATGAAACAAAGTTATATTTAATATATGATAACCTGATTCCACAGGAAAACAAATTAAAAGTTACTTAATCTGATTAAATTAACTGATAGAAACAAAAAAAAATATTGGTTATTATTATTGTGAATAAAAAGTTAATTAAATCAATGTAACATTTATCAACATCTTAATTAGTTTAATTACTTATCTAAATAAACATCAATTTAGTGATTAATGTTTATTCAAAATGTGTATGTTGTGTCAATTCAAACAATTTAACTCTGATTTCCTTTTCTCTGCCTCTATTAATACACTTTGGTGACAATTTGATTCTTAGCAATAAAAATTGATCAACTGTAATTCACTTTGATTGGTAAACAATTGATGTTGATGCCCAACAAACAATTTAATATCCTCAGGGAGGTAAAGAAGTAGATGGATAAAGAGAAAGGAAAAAAAGAGAGAGAGAGAGAAGATGCTGATTCCTATGATAACGATCAAGCTAAGGATAAAAGGTTAAGACAATAATGATGATGATAATGATAATAAGATAATAGGTAAAAAAATCAATAAATAGGGACAGAAAGCTAAATGCACATCGATAAAATATTGACGAAATTAAATTTAATCAATTTTGCAATATACCAATTATTGACTAAAATTTTTATCATTTCTCTTTGTTAATGGCTTTCAGTCAATCTCAATTTTTTGTTTCTTTATTAAAAAGACTTATTAATCAGTAAACCATTAAGACTAATCAACTAAATCAGTTTTAAGAAAACGTTTAACCCTTGCTTACTTGTTTCCGTGTCTTTACCTGATACTATTATCGTTATCATTAATGCACGTTTGTTTACATAGACTCTACCCTGTTAATACTTACTATTATCATTATAATATTAACTAATAACCAACAACAATTTACTGATTCAAGTAAAAACACAACAAACTTATTTTACTGAGTGTATCACATGTAAAGTGTATGTACATTGAGTAAAATGCTTGGGAGTATAAAGTAATAATATCAGATGAACACGGAATCTTGTTTATGGATAAAAATCTATCATGACAGAAGCTCCTTTTTTTTTGCTTCTCTTTTTTTTTGTCTGATATCATCATATTTTTTCCCCTTTTCCTCTATCATAATCATCAGTAAATTAGGGTGACATGGGTGATCGTGTTTCCATCCTTAATATCGTAAAACAATCAACAAAACCCGAAAAAACAGTTTTCAAGTTAATCACAATTATCAACAACAAGCAAAATTAAGTTTACCTTTGATATCCGATGAAGATCATGTTTTTCGTGTTCGATTATACCCAAAATTAAATAACCCTTCACTCTAGTAATCATAATTTCTCATCATCATCATCATTTTGATCATTTTATTTACCATCAACATCATGATCATCACAATCAACTTAAGATTATTTTACTTTAATTTTGATTTGCATGATTATCAATACTCTTTTTGTGAAACTTATTTGTTAGCTATTCAAATTTTCCTCTTTTCATTTCAATCATGATAAGATTCAAAACATTTCAAATTCTCAACCAAATTTGAATAATATCATGTGTAATGGTAAATTCTGATATCTTGGAGCAAAGAAAGAGAATAAAAAAAATATGAATGATAATATATTATATTATATGATAATAAATAAATAGGCAAAATGAATGATCAATCATGAAAAAAAAGGGAGAGGGAGAAAATGATAAACAATCTGATTAAGACACGCAATAATTATATGTATTTATTTGTATTCATCATCATCGTTTCAAATTGCAATTTACATTTTTGATTATGAACAATATTTACTCCAGATACTCAATAATTTTCATGATTAATATGAAAAAGAAAATATGAGAAGCAGTAGAAAAGAAAGACAAAACTCATTACCTTTAGTTCACATGGAATTATTATCCAACACTCAACCTCCTCATATTTCCAATAATATTAATTGTCATTTAGTAACAATTTGAATTATTGAAACCGATAAACAAAATATCATAATAATAAACTGAACAACTGAACGATTACACAACAGGACCTTATTATTATAATTATTATTATTATTTAGGAAAAGATGATATTCTGATAATGGTTTTATCTATTATTTGAATATTCATCTAGAAATGAATTTCTCAGTTTCATCTCATGTTAAATTCAGAGTAACTCTCAACTAGATTCTGGAAATATTAATATAATTCCGACTCTTCCTATTTAGTTACACTCTTTTTGTCCATAAAAATGATAATCATAATGATGATAATAGTATCAAGAAATATATATTTCTACTGAATTGAAGTTTTTATCATGAGAAACAGGAAAAAGGAGGATAAAATATTGTTCAGTATTGTGAATACCTTTTAACAGGAAATTTAGAATCTCCGGTTACACTAAATGTAATAATAATACGTTTTCAATAGTAAAGCATTTATTATATTTCTTTGGTTTTTAAACTAGAAAATATCATGGTGAAAATTATGAAGATAAAAGTTTAAAAAGTTACGATAACTATAAATAAAATAACAGAATTAAAGTTATCACAATTTTTTATCAAATGATGAGGATATAATCTATTTCTTCAATTGTAATTGTAAATTTTTGTATCAACTGAAAAAAAAGACTAATTTTTCATGATGATTATGATGATAATTTAATTCATGATACTACTTTCTAATGATAATTTACTTTCAGCTATTTAATAACAATAACAATTTGCATTTTGTTTCTATCAAAACAAAAATCATTATTATTTTTTAGTCTATTTGAAGATTTCTCAACTAGTTTTTTTGTTCACTTCCTGCTTTGTCTGAAAATATTTTCATTTGCAATTGAAACTTTATCATGACCATGTTAATATTCAGATCAGATAAACCTTGTAAAATAAATAATAACTCTGAAAAATCAACCAACAGTAATGACAGCAAGAGTTATTTGTTATTATACAAAATGTTATCATTATATTGATGATTTTTTCCCCAACGATTGAATTAACCTTTGATTTATATTCAATATTGATTGAATATAAATCACCCAATTTATATATACATCTATTAACATTTACTAGACAATTAGCTTTACGCATATTCTTGATATTTGCATCATTCCCAAACTAAATCCTAGATTGATATCAATTATTAAATGATTTGAAATAAAATATCTAACAGGTATTAATATTAATATCTTTGTAATGTTTTTTGTTTGTTTGTTTGGTGTTTATCATCTTGATTGACTCAGACTGTTATCAATTGTAACAAAAAGATGTCACTCATGAAGATTTTTTATTCTTTATCAATTGTATCAGTTATGAGAATTCTGGTTAAAATGCTGATGTAGCTCTAGAAGATGAAGATATAGTTATGCAAGATGAAAATGAAGAGATTTTTTCTCCGTTCATGATAAAAGATATGAGATGTATTGAAAAAGAGCATCTGAAGAAGATAAAAAGACGACGATTATGATTATGATGATGAAAAAAACTACTTTTTGAAGTATTCATATCATTCATATTATATATATACTTTTTTTTCACTATGATATGAAAAGAAGATAAAAACCATCAACCATTTCAACCATTTCTTTTATCTCTCCTTGTCTTCTTATACATTTTCCTCCTCCTCATCATCTTCTTATCCTTCTATCACCATCATCTGTATTGCTTGATTTCCATTCATTTCACCTATTTATTCACAAGTCATTTCAATATCATGACTTTTTCTTTGTGAAGGAACAGAAAAAAAGTCAATGTCTCAAGTAGAGCTTCAATGAATACATATTCTGGTTTACCGGAATAAAAGTCGAGATATGGTAAAAAAAACTCAACATGTTAAACTTACTTTAGATGAAGATGAAGATGATAAAAATAAGAAGACAAAATTAAACTCTGGGTGATCTTTTCTCTCTTCCCTCCTCACGATTACCTTTCAAACACCATATTATTCCTATTCATTCATTTATACAATTCTTTCTTAGTGTTTCCATTTTCTCTTGCAAACTTTTCACCAAAATTTCATTCATCTTTTTCCTTGTTCCTTTGAAAAACCATCTTCAAACTGATCACTATCGTTATACTCATAAAATCTTGAAGCTCACAATTAATTTTGCATTACATTTTTATATTCATTGTAAGTAAAAGTATCAACTTTTTTTTTGTTTCATGGAAATGACTCATCTTGATTCTGTTATTGATATACTCAATATCTCTGGGAGATCAAGATATCAACTTGACATGTTAAAGCTGTGAGATAGATAATCAAGAAAGATATTTTTTATCCTCATCTTTTCCTTGAGCTGATGTATTAAATAGATACTTTTTTCCTTTCAACTTTATTTTAATTAACTTATCAAACAATCTTATTGATGTAAATTGTTTGGAGTAAATTTTTTCTTTCACTCTATTTCAATTATTAATAATGTCAGTCCAATATTCATTAAACTATTAATTTTGTATCATTTTTAATTCTGAAAATTAAGTGTA